TTTCGCGGTCCGAAACGTGTTAAAGGCAGCGTCCAGACAGCTCTGGACCTATGGGAATTTTACGTGGAAAGTGATTTTGGGACGCTAACTAAGCCACAGCCCAACCGGCAGCTCAGGTACTGCTCTAACGGCTGAGATATTCACGTCGAATGTGGACCCCGCGATCGTATCTCGCATGGATTCATGGCGCAAAGCGTGGATCCTGGCGCGAAACTGCCATGAAACCATGCGAATACGATCGCGGGGTCCACTTTCGAGGGGAATATCTCAGCCGCTATAGCAATACCTGAGCTGCCGGTTGGGCAGTAGCTTAGTTAGGGCCCCAAAGTTACTTTACACGTAAAATCCCCACAGGTTCAGATTTGCTTGGACGCTGCCTTTGAAGTAGACTAATGTAGGCATAACTAAGCTATGAGTAATAACGTTTGCGTCATTTGCGACAAAAACAACTACAAAAAGAGTTACATTGCAAGAAGGTGCAAAATGGTAAACACTGGAAAAAACGAAGTCACAATGGTGTTTAAAGGCAGTGTCTCACCAATGTTGAGGTCGCGCGGATTTTCACATATTCTATTATAGGGATCTCTAAATAGGCCATTGCAGCAAGTCCCACTCAATTTGACCCCCTCCACGCTGAGAAAAATTCGCACAAAGTGGTACGCGGAGAGCGAGCTGGTACGCGCGGACGACTCCTCCGGTCTCCCCCCTTACGCGTTTGAACATGTCTCTCCACTTGGCATCCACCTCTCCTGTGTTGCTGCCACGGTGGCTGAGGCTGAAGTTGGAAGGTACAACTCGTCCACGTTGCTTCCGCGGGGCCTCCAAAAACGGGGTTTTTGGGAACTTCATGCGATTTTAAGCCCACACAGTGCTAGACAGGGTCCGACAGGCTTGCAAAATGCAAAAATCTCGGCAGCTAAATTTTGGTGAGACACTGCCTTTGATACTTGGATTGATGATTTTGGCTAGAAAATGTTACACTGGAAGAAATTTATGGAGCAAAGTAAAGATTCAGACCTGGTTGAGACATCATAATCATTTTACACAAGGACAGCGCTATGGAAAAAATCCCAGTAAAATCAAAAAATGATATTTATTTATTTTCATTTATTTAATACGCTCATAGGCGCGTCATTTGTTAGTGAACAGCAATCAACGTCAATGAAGTCAGTATGACATCAAGAAGATAAAAAAAAAACAGAAAAAAAAACATGAAAAGGCTTTTGGTAATCTCGGATTGAAAAAAAATATGAGTATGTTATTTCTTTACTAGCGACCCTACGGGTCGCTAGCAAGTGGGTAGGGGCAGACACAATATAAGGGCTTAGTTGTGATTATAAATATTTCTCGATAAGTTTTCTATGCCTTTGCTGAGAACATCTTTGCGAAGCATTCTACAAAAGGAGAACTGTTCGAAGGCAATAATCTCCAAAAATCACTCAGCATTTCTCGAAAATCCTGCTGCAACCTCAACAATTTCTATAGAAGATCGTCAAGGAAGTAAAACACCTATCGTTTTGGAAGTAGAAATATCCACAACAATTGTGTACTACAAAAAACACTTTTCTCTCAGAATCAATCCGACAGCAACGAAATCAATCGTCTAAGAACTTTGTCAGAAAATTTTCTGAATTTTCTAATTTTCTAATTTCTTTCGCCAAAGGAATATGAAGCTTACTACATAAGTAGATCCCTCCCCGAAAAGCACACGAGCCACCTAAAGACCGACAATCATAAGAACTGCATAAACGTACAAAAATCTGTTCTCCTGCCCGATCAAGTTGCCCTACGTGCCGCTCGAAGACCGTTCAAAATGCCCTACGTGCCGCTTGAAGACCATTTAAAAATTATAAGAACTGTCCCAAACGTACAAAAATCTGTTTCCCTGCCCGATCAAGTTGCCCTACGTGCCGCTTGAAAACAGTTCAAAAATTATAAGAACTGTCCCGAACGTACAAAAATCTGTTCCCCTGCCCGATCAAATTGCCCTACGTGCCGCTCGAAGACCGTTCAAAATGCCCTACGTGCCGCTTGAAGACCATTTAAAAATTATAAGGACTGCCCCAAACGTACAAAAATCTGTTCCCCTGCCCGATCAAGTTGCCTACGTGCCGCTCGAAGACCGTTCAAAATGCCCTACGTGCCGCTTGAAGACCATTTAAAAATTATAAGAACTGTCCCAAACGTACAAAAATCTGTTCCCCTGCCCGATCAAGTTGCCCTACGTGCCGCTTGAAAACAGTTCAAAAATTATAAGAACTGTCCCGAACGTACAAAAATCTGTTCCCCTGCCCGATCAAGTTGCCCTACGTGCCGCTCGAAGACCGTTCAAAATGCCCTACGTGCCGCTTGAAGACCATTTAAAAATTATAAGGACTGCTCCAAACGTACAAAAATTTGTTCCCCTGCCCGATCAAGTTGCCCTACGTGCCGCTCGAAGACCGTTCAAAATGCCCTACGTGCCGCTTGAAGACCATTTAAAAATTATAAGGACTGCTCCAAACGTACAAAAATCTGTTCCCCTGCCCGATCAAGTTGCCCTACGTGCCGCTTGAAGACCATTTAAAAATTATAACGACTGCTCCAAACGTACAAAAATCTGTTCCCCTGCCCGATCAAGTTGCCCTACGTGCCGCTCGAAGACCGTTCAAAATGCCCTACGTGCCGCTTGAAGACCATTTAAAAATTATAACGGCTGCTCCAAACGTACAAAAATCTGTTCCACTGCCCGATCAAGTTGCCCTACGTGCCGCTCGAAGACCGTTCAAAATGCCCTATGTGCCGCTTCAAGACCATTTAAAAATTATAAGGACTGCCCCAAACGTACAAAAATCTGTTCCCCTGCCCGATCAAGTTGCCCTACGTGCCGCTCGAAGACCGTTCAAAATGCCCTATGTGCCGCTTGAAGACCATTTAAAAATTATAAGGACTGCCCCAAACGTACAAAAATCGGTTTTTCTGCCCGATCAAGTTGCCCTACGTGCCGCTTACAGACCGTTAAAATTATAAGAACTGTCCCAAACGTACAAAAATCGGTTTTTCTGCCCGATCAAGTTGCCCTACGTGCCGCTTACAGACCGTTAAAATTATAAGAACTGTCCCAAACGTACAAAAATCGGTTTTTCTGCCCGATCAAGTTGCCCTACGTGCTGCTTACAGACCGATAGTAACTATTCAAAAAGAAAGTTTAAGCCCTAAGTGCCGCTTGAAGACCGTACAGTCTGCCCCGATCGGGATCAGGCCGAACCGTCGGCTGAATTTGCGCGCTCGCAGCGCTAGGGGATTGCGCTGCATACGCGCGCTGTCGCAGAGAGTGAAGAGATTGAGGAGAGAGCAGACTAGCTAGACGCAGAAATGGCGCGAAATCCTCGCGACGCGCAATCCCGCCAAGCCAATTTTGGCCTGGTTAGGATTGGGGCAGACTGTATATATAAGAAAAAACATCTACGACCCCTAAAAACAACGAAATCAGGTATTTACAGCGTATTCTGAAATTGCCGTACATGCCATTTTTGGACTTTCAATTCTGAGAACTGCCCCAAACGTACAAAAATCTGTTTCCCTGCCCGATGCGATTGCCCTACGTGCCGTTTACACACCGATTCCTAGTTGAAAGCGCAAGCGGTACCCATTAACAAGCAAAAGCAAGGCTGTTATTAGATAAACGTTTCCAAAATTACCAGCGAGACCAAGTTACTCACGCACTCTCTTGTCTACACGTGGAAGCAAGACGATCCTAAAGTGACTGTTCTTAGTTAGAGCATTTTTACAAGAGTTGGGAACTTAGATGAATTTAGCTCAAGTCACGCTGTTACGCAATTTGGCATCATTTCAAAAGCAACTAATAGAAGTACGACATATTCGGAAGACACATTCTGGGATAACAAGCTCGAAAAAAAGCAGGTACAAGTATTAACACACCCATATGGCGACCCATTCTCAAAATCATTGCGATACTCATGATTGCCTTTCGAAATACGTGTGACCTTTTTAGGAAAATATGCTTGGTCACTCTTTTGAAATTTGGCAGCGTTCCAAAACGCATGCCACTTGGCAGCAATCCAATTTCAAAGATCAGTGTATTTCATCATAATTTTTACGTCTGCGCCCTCCTCGTTTGCCATAATCCAACTATCAGCGGCTTAATGGGTAAACAACGAATTCGTTATATATTACGTAGTGATCTGGATAAACATTATGCTCGCCACAGGTTTGGACCTTCAATTTCAATAACAATGTGCATTATGATAAGAAAAAGATGCGTTCATCCTCAAACAATTTTTTTACAAGGAAGCTTGGTCGAAGTGGAGTTTCTATATGAAATTTAAACTTTCTTATAGAGCATGGAACGCTGACTCCAAATCTGTCTTTGTTATCTGCAAAACACTTCTGGGAAGGGAGTTATGGGAATTCTTCGAGTCAAAAAGTCAAGAGTTTGATTGAAGTAAAAACAGGCGTTGAGGTCTTCTCGGCGTTTGAAAGAAGTAATGACTGGCATAAATTTATTAATCTAAGTATGTCAATTACATAAAGCGATCAGGCAGTAATCATGGCCCCATTTGAGCTCACAGACTACAGCAATGAATGATTTCATAGTGGCCGTACTTTTGCATTTTTGTCCAAAAAAACTCCCCTCTTAAAAGCGCTTTGCAGATAGAAAAAGCAGATTTGAAATCAGCGTTCCATGCTCCACAAGACTGTATACATTTCGTATGGAAACGCCACTTCGACCAAGTATCCTTCTCTTGTTAGAAATGGGCTTGTGAGTTTTCTAGCTCTACCTTTAAGAAAACGAGCACGTTTCTGTAGAGTTTGCAAAAAACAACGTACATACATAGAATACAAATACATGATTAATTTGGTTAGAACTATTTTTTCACAAATTTAGCACTTCAAAATGGGAACTTTCTTCAGGTCTCTCTGGAGGAGAGCAATTATAGCTTTGCATTTCCTTGAAGTATAGTAGCGCCACTGATTTGATAAAGCATCCGAAACAAAAAAAAATTTATCATTTAAAATCTTTCCAAATAGTTCTTAACAACCACTATAGAAATGAATTGCTTCCATTTTCTCATAAGCGTCACGTAAGCCAACTCAGAGCGCAAAGGCAACAAAAAGCAATGGAAAGGAAGCTGAAGAAACAGACAGGCATACCTGAATCACAGTTAGCAACAACAACAGCATCATTATCCACAATGCAAAGAAAGAAACAGCACTAGAGAAAGGTCAAACCAGTGACATATCGTAGAACAATGCAATGTGGTACGAAAATTTACAGGAATTTGACAAGGAAAAGAGATTATCAAACCCTCGAAGCAATTTTCACCCGAATCTTGCGTGGCCCTCATTGAGCCTTTCAAGAACATGTTGAAAATCTCACAAAACACTTTGATCTCAACAAGTTTTTCATAAACAGCCCTAACCCTTTAATTTTACATTTCTTGCTACAGCACACCTGTTTTGTGGAATCCACGCAAATTAGGTAATGTTCGAACCAGTTCAGAGCAGAGGAAAATAATTGTTCAAGAAAGTTGTCAGCAAGGATGTTGGATTAACCTAGCCTATCACTGATCAAAATTGCTGAACTCGACGTCTGCGCTCGTTGATAGGAGCTTTGGTACGATCAATGGTTTCGTCGAAAAACCTGGAAATAAAATGAAGAGCTCGCCATTTTCTAGTCGTGTGAAGGCTCATTGATTTTTGACTGAAACATGTGGATCAATTGCATTAGGCTGACATAGCAGAATACCACTTCTAAGCATAAATACCTGACTAACATTGAAGTAATGATGGTGTTTCACAATAAGAAGGACTAAAAACAGTTCTATAGAAAAGAGAAAGAACCGGGGAACACAGCGGCTATCAATCCTTAAATTGCCCTAACGCTAGACCAACTTCGCGTAGTTAAAAAGCACTCGTACACGTAAAAAATGCTAAAATATAATAAAAATGCTCAAGACATTCATTCCGTCGCCTACAAATAATGTAGCATTTTTTATTACATTCATAACTGCTCAGCACCTCATCCATCCATTTAAAAATGTAATAATCAGTCTAAGACTGAATTTCTTAGATTTTGTACATTGACTTCTCTACTATTCTCCCCATCCTATTTTCGAGCCATTCAACTAGTACTGACGTTATCCAAATCCGTGTGGAAATCACATGGTGAGATACAACTTAACCCAATGAATTCTATCTAAAAAGCACTTCTGATGAATGACGAAACTCAGGGAAGGGACCAACAAAGGTGCCGATTGCGTGATTGATACTGGGGAACCTCGAAGGGTTTGTACCACTTGAGGGCTCAGGAATGGTGATTCTGATATACTAAGTAGTTGCTGAGTTTTGTTATAAGCTTTTCTTTACAATGTCTCGTTAGAAAGTTACGCACCGTAATCATAATAGCAGTTTTCTCGATAACTTTCAAAAACTGAATAATCATGTACAGGGAGTTCTTGAGCGTGCCTAAAAAACCCCACGACAAAAGTTCTCGTGTTGCGGATCTTTGAAGGGCACTATCAACAAAGTCAATTTGCAAAAAACCGTTTCCCTAGCAACAAAACAATCAATGACTGTTTTGCAATGTGCGTTCGGGTTGAAGCCAGTCCTACAATAAAATGAATATCTAAAAGCTTTCGGAGGCCTTAAGATCTTTGTAAGATAAGGAGCTATTGTCTTACAATCTTCAGTAAATTTCACTTTGAAAATCCGCATATATTGATAGACGGACTCCCCACACCCTTTTTTGAAAAACAAGGAAATTGCTGCTAATATTGATCTACTATGACTAGGCTGTGGTACACAAAGCATTCTGCGATCTTGAATTCGCCTGTTTCTTTTTTCAGAATGCAAACATACCGCGCCAGAGCCATGCTCGCTGTGGAACCAGGTGGTATAGGACGCAGACAATTGATGTTCATTCTGGAAAAATAAATACTTACAAGTGATTGAAGAGCTACTGCTACTACCTGTCATAGGCAGACGGTCCCCTATGAGGTGCCAGATCCAGTTTGCAGCCAACAGTAAGAATTGGAATTTGGCACGATTCAATGTCAGCCAAAAGCGAACGAGTTGTTGAAGATCCAACAGGTCTCGGTTTCCCATCAAGTAAAGAAAGCCATTGGGAGAGATTCTGAAAAGACGTGATTCACGAAGCACAACCGAGATAATTCGAAATACTAGAGATGAGCTTTTATGACCACATGTGCCCTCCCGGAAAACCTATATGCTTCCTGCCGGGGGAAATGGCAAATCCACGCAAAAGCAACTGCGCTAGCGATTCCTGCGCACTAAGACTGCTACAGACCGCGCCACAAATCCTTTGTGCTCGGTATAAACTGATAGATAATTCCTCTACCTCTTCACTTTTTTTGTTGCTCAGATCGTGCACCAAAATCGCACCAGCAGCTCCGTCAAAGAACACTGCTGAAGCTGCTCGATGCGCTCCGGAACCACCAATATCCCAGAGCTCCATCAATTCGGACCGTTGTTCAGACGTCCCTGTAAGAAACTGACTGCAGAAGTTACTGGTCGAATGCAATCCACATACCTGCCTTGTATTCATGCCACGCCATGGCGATAGATGCACCGATCGTACTAGGGCTGTCAGCGCTAGGGCTAGAATATTATAAGTACATTTAATAAGAAAATGAATTTACGTTGCAGAATAAATCAATCACAGAGTTTTGCACAATATCAGTGAATAAGGAACCAGCTGCTGTAGGGCCAAGGTCAATTAGATAGAATCTGTCTAAATGAGTTTCTTGCATTAACCCTGTAGTACTGATGCAGCGTGAATTGAAGACGACTCTTATCAAACTATTTCATAGTACGAGATTCCACAAAGAGTCAGATGCTTGCCCGCAACCATACAGAGTGTCCCAAAAAGATGTGCACACTGTTTGATCGTTAATAACTCTCCTGTTTTCACGTCTTTTGCCGAGCTTGAGGTACCAGAGGACCGGCCCGCCGCCCGTCACCGTCGGCTCAGTACGCGTCGCGGCTCAAAAGCGACGCGTGCACCCGCATACTCATTCCATTGAGCATGAGAGAATTTTGCGCAACTATTCTAAGCTACCAGACGAAAAGTGTTTTTCAAACGTTATTTCAGTGTTTAGATTTCGTTATGGCTCCGTTTGGCGGAGCACTTCGCCAAACAAATCGATCACTTTGCCTCGTGTGCAGATAGTAGACGCCAAACAATTGTTTCTATCAAAACTATGGAGCAAACACTAAGATATGTCAGTAAAATGTGAGCAGGCAGTAAGGAGCGACCTACGCAGTAAAGATATGTAGGCATGAGCCTACGCAGACGAAAATTTTCCTCCATTTATGATTGTCCGCTTCTTATATTAGAGAGGATAGAACATGTATAAAAATAATGCAAAATAATGCATCTCTGTTGCTGAGATCACGACTTTTTTTGCGCTGTCCGGATTAGACTCTGTTACACCAAGAAGACAAGGCTTTATGGCTGGACAGATAGGGATCGGCCATCCTATTCTAGGAGGTGATTCTTGCGACTCCTTAATTCCTGCAATTCTTGTGATTCCTCGACTTCCGATATGCCGCACTATGGAGCGCTTAGCGAATTTCATTACACATTGTTCTTTCGCAATATACATTACTGACGTATACATTATTACGAGACCCGCAGCAACCACAGGAATCACAGGAATTGTAGGCATCATGGCCGGTCTCATAGAATGTCAGTATGGTATGCAAATTTGGAGTCAGTGAATCTGTCCACTCACATGCTCGTTCAGTCACGGGAAATATGGCATTAGCGGGAAATTTGTCAATAAGTTCATCAGCTTCAGTCCGGGGCAGAGTTCTGGCAGTAATACCAATCCAAAACTATTGAGTTACATGTCGCTAAATGTGGTTTTGAGGCGCTACCTTCCTATTAAACGAGAGTATCGCATTCATTAAGTCACAGTAATTTTACTGTATCCGCTGGAATACAATTCGAGAAATTTTCGCAACAGACATTGCAGCAAGGATGAACATCTACGACTCGTAGGCTTCACAATTCACGCTCATTATCTGAAGATGACTAGTAAAACGATGTGGAAATGTAGAGTCGTTGTGCTGTTTAGTCTATTCTCCCTAGTAGGACCATGTGTTGTGTAGCCCCATTTCCCGCACAAGTCTTGAATGGATGGTGGAGTTTTATACAGCAATGTGCAAGCATTCCGCCTCTACGAGATCGGCGCTATTCTAACATCCAGGCCTCAAATTTCAAAGCTATGATTTTCGCTGGAACACAATAGATGGGCATTCTCCCACACGTTATTTACCAAATTTTTCCAACAACTTCCTTATTTTCTTGCATTGTGTGCCGAGGTCAAAACCACAGATTTGGCTTTGTTTGGTCTAAGAGGGTTATCTGGTATGCTAGATACAAACAACATACTTATTTTTCCATAATGAGGCTTCTTCGTGGAGTTCTGGAAGGTGTATGGCATGAGGTTATGGATTTGTCGTGGACCTTGTCCTTTTCGGGCAGATGTGCCTATGCTAGGTGATTACAAAGTGATGAACAGGTGGTGATGGGTAAGAGCATGGTGCTAACTCTTTTTGCATATTTGCAACGCCAGCGCAAAAACGCGCTTCAATGATGAGTTTCAATGCGACGCGGACTGCGGCGCGTACTGAGCCGACGGTGACGGGCTGCGGGCCGGTCCTCGAGGTACCATTCTATAGAGCGAGGATAAACTTAGATTTACAGTATGGAGCGAATCACCAATCGCTCTTCGTTACTGTAGGATCACGGTAAGAACTCTCAGCATACAGCGTCACTGTGGAATAAGCCTTTTGATGAAATAACTTCGAAGAAATTTAAAAAATTGTGTAACAAGGTTTTCAGGCGTGCTGATTTTACTACATAACTTTCCACCAGTTTTTCGAGCTTTCTTGATGGCGTATTCACATTTCTAACAAATACTGGAATATCAGTTGTTACCCTAAATCTGATATAATTCATAGAAGAAACAGTGTACTGACGTGCAATTTTCATATTTAGAACTAGCTGCTCAGACACTGGGACCGGCTGAGCCGCGGCCTCAAAAGGCCTTTCCGGCCCGTCCGCGGCCTTAATTTGGGGGCGTGGCCGAAGACCGGCCCAGCCGCGGACCTTAATTCATGTCGATATGATTGCACCGGCTGATCCGCGGACTGAATATGGCTTACCGGCCCAGCCGCGGACCTTAATTCATGTCGATATGATTGCACCGGCTGAGCCGCGGACCAAAATCTCTATTACGAAACACCGGCTGAGCCGCGGCCCATTTTCGGCTCGGCCGGTCCTAGTATCTGAGCGTAAAGAACACTTGCGTGATGTACGACGCATGGTCAGGCTGCCCTCAGTGTCCATAGCCTCCGTTGTCTTTCCAGTCTCCAAGGCAGGAACAAGACCAATATGTTGTACAACACTTGAATATGTTGTACAACACTTGGATAACACTTTGTGTTGTCCAGTTTTGAAGCCGGACATGGTTTCCGAAGCGGCCATGTTGTGGCTTCAATTTTTGTTTTTCACAGCGTATATTTTACGTGCCAGTGAATAAAAGAAACAGTCGTTTTGTATCCGAGCTAGAATGAACTAGATGTCCCGACAACCAGCTCCGGCTGAGCCGCGGCCGTTTTCCGGCTGAGCCGAGGCCGTTTTTCGGCTGAGCCGCGGACCATTCACCGGCTGGTCCGCGGACGCTGCGAAATTCCAGCCGGAAATGGGCCGCGGCTCGGCCGGTCCCAGTGTCTGAGTGGCTTACCCGGCTCCGCCGTATGTTCCGAATAGGAAATTCCATTTCTGAACCGATCGGGACCAAACTTGGCACACATACACTTCGGGCCCCGGCGGGTGTCATAGGCTACTTTTCGTATCGATCGATATCGATTTTATCGATTTTTTGCAAAATTTGAGCTACGGGGCTGGGAGTTGGCACAGGGGGGTAATCGAGCATGCTGATCACCCCCGTGGGGGTGATCAGCATGCTCGATTACACCCCCCGCCAAATTCCAGCCCCGTAGCTCAAATTTTGCAAAAAATCGATAAAATCGATATCGATCGATGACGAAAAGTAGCCTATGACACCCGCCGGGGCCCGAAGTGTATGTGTGCCAAGTTTTCCCGATCGGTTCAGAAATGGAATTTCCTATTCGGAACATACGTACAGACAGACAGACATACATACAGACATACAAGCAGACATTCAGCTTTATATATAAGATTAGCAACTTCGATTGACCAAGTTCATGAAATTCTGGCTTGTTTGGCTTTTTTGAGGCAAAAAACTGCTTCCAATGGCTCAAAATCCTTTCCGAAATTCCTACCGTAATCCTACAGTAATGAAGAGCTGCTTATAAATCGCTCCATACCGTAAATCTAAGTTGAACCTCGCCCTAAAGAATGGTACCTCAAGCTTGGCAAAAGACATGAAAGCAAGAGAGTTATTAACAATCAAACAGTGTGCACATCTTTTTGGGACACCCTGTATATCTGAAGGCTCTAACACGTAGAAGGCAACGAGCGACGACCAAGCAGGATCGAAAAAGCGAAAAAATCTAGAAAGAACACCTCCGCACAAAATATGAGAGCAGCGATGTAACATGCCAGGCCTTTTTTCTTAACGAGCCAAAATCATAGCCTTAAAGGCACCGTCCACCCAGATTCTCGTCTTCCAGGTTTCTGTCGTTTCAGGGCCTTCTCATGTCCCTGATTTCGAATATGAAGTCGAGAATCCGCGAAAACCCCTACAATCCGCGTTCCGGAGAACCCACAGGTCAGCTATCCGGAACGGTGATTGGATGGGCGCGCACAAATGGGCGGGCATGGATGGGGAGGAGCGGGCATGGATGGGGGTCCTCGCGCATCTTCGTTATTCCAGAGCGATTTTCTCGCATCCAAAGCGACATTTTGCACTGCGACTTGGGCATTGGCTTGATAGGAGGCCCTACTATCATGTGCTCCCAAAAGCTCGAGACCCTCAATTTAGGGTGGACGGTGCCTTTAAAGTATAATAGGTAATTTCTGTCGCGTATTACGAATACAGAAAATAATCTCATTGTATTCAATTGAATCAGAGACAAGCTGAGAAGCACTATATTCCCAACATCGAGGATAAGAAGAGTAGAGCATAAAGGATGATAGAAACAAGACGCAGCCAATCAAAAAAATTACTGACTTTTACGATATACTACACTTACTTTCCACAAACAGCATTGACGAACGATGTTTTGCCGACACCACTTTCTCCAACCACTATTATCTTTGTAGAAGACATTAGGAACTCAACGAATCTACCTGAACAAATTGCTGTAAATCCTCAAAAGAAAAAAGAGAAACACCCAAACGAACTTGAATTGACGTTCTAGTCTTCACAACTTCCAAACAGAGTGAGCAAGAGCAGCACTCAAACACACCAGTATCTACTATCTTTTGAACCTAGAGTAATGATAAGAGCATAAGTGATGCGCACAGATAATTTGGGTCATACTTCTTCCGCTGATATCTCGTAATGATCACCACAACGACAAAGTTCTACTATAGGTTCAGTGTCGTCTTCAGCAATCTCTATTGTCTCAGCTATTGTTCCTTTATTCCTACGATATCGTTGTTCGCGGAGCCAATAGTCGTATTCACGTCGTTTCAATGAGTCCTGATATGAAGAACCTCTCGAAATTGGAATGAAAAGCCTAGTCAAAGTATAGCGGACAAGCTCCTATATTCAAAACCACATATTAAGCCAAGTTATTAAGTACCTTCAAAGTGCTCCAAATATGGGTTGCAAGCGTAAGCGATTCAGAGCTTCCTTCTTCTTCACCGCCTTTATCAGGATGTATCCGACGCAGGTAATCGAAATATGACCGTTTAATCTCCTCAAGATCGGCGTCTGGACTAACTTGCAAGATGTCATAGAAACTAAGCATATCCCATAACGGAATGTGACAACAACGCAAGTTGCCTGGAAACGAAAAGTTCCGTTTCCAATTTAATAAAAATTAATGGTTCAGAAGGGTATGACAAGAAAGGATAACTTTGATGTACGCAGTGATATCACCATATTTCGAAAATTTTGAAGTGACATACAGAAAATTTATTGCATCTCTTCTCGAGAAGCCCTAATGACCAGTTTCTATACAAGATAAAACTCTTAGAGATCTGTTAGAGTGCACATCTTCCGACAAACAATTACATGGAACAAGCTCAAAAAACCAACACTATATTTACAACCACAAAAGTGTGACCAAAACTAAAGCAAGATTTCAGTCAACCATTTCGAGACTACATAAAGGTACAGCCGGTTTCAGCGGATACCGATCGTGCTCTTCTCTGCGTGGTGGCACAGCGGGATGAGCATTGCTATTTTCATCCGAAGGACGTTCGCGATGAAGTACGAACTTGTAACTAACCTATAACAGTTAAAAATGTTGTAAAGGTGAAATGTGGCGACATTATGTAAGCTATACAACTTCTAGAAAAAGCTCACATTTGCGTACTGCTTGAGACAAGGGCAAGCGTCCAGCAAAGCCGTACAAAACGGCTGCCGAAGACCAAACCACCAGACGTTACCCCCACCATGGACGCAAGACATCAAAACAAGGCAAACCAACGAAACGAGAAGTGGAGCAAATACAGCCTATAACATTGAAGATGCAAAGAATGAAACTACTGTATTAAAAAATAATAGCATTTCTCCTGATAACACCAAAACATGTGAGTTTGCAAGTTGAAAAATAGGTAACAAATAACATGTGCTCGCATAAATATGCAGGGAACACTTTCCAGATCTTCAACCATAACCATCCTCATCTTCTACCCTTAAACGTACCGATGTGCATGATACACGCCAGAGAAGTGATGTAAACTTGTAAGAATAAATTCGCAGTTTGTGTGCATTTTAAATCTATGACATAGAAGGTTATACTTTCCCTAAACGAGACTAGGAGTATCACCCCCCCCCCCCCTGCTTACGAGGTTTCACGAACTTGTTAAGATATACCGCTTCACAGTAAAAAAGTTATGATTGAGTTTGAATTAAAAAAAACAATTCATTGCGTAAACTGCTACAATAATTTTGTTTCTTTTTGATAAGTGTAAAATTTTCTAAAAACTTCGCAGAACTCTGAATGTTTGCATAAAAACAAAGATTGTACAACAATTGGAAGGGATCCAAATTGCAAAAATCATATTTTTGCTGCGACAGAGTGTTACAAGTTACGCGGAAGCTTTTGGAGCTTTCATTAAAGTATTCGTAAATCACCAAGAGTTAAAAATAGCAAAAAATGTTTCTTCCACGAAGTTTGCTGTAATGTCTATAACGTGCTTTCAAATAAACGAGAAAATGACAAAACTGTTATCTAGTGGACCTTTTTGAATGACCGACAGAGATTGTTTGTCTCAGACTAACGAAGAAATCTCAAGTACATGAAAAAATTACCAAACGAAATAAAAGAAAATGTTTACTGTAACTCCAAAATGTGTATACACAAGCGAGACTTACCGTAAACGGCATATCGGCTGCAGGATCGTTGTCTCCCCACTCCAAGGCGTCTAGTTTCCCAGTCAATAGCACCATGCATATCAATGCTGGGACGACTAGACAAGCGTGAAACAGAGCCGATGTAACGTGCTGCCTTCTATGCGATGGAACTAGATGACGTGAACGTGCTAACACAATCGAAAGCACGAGAGCGTACAATACTCCCACTGCAGAGAGTGAAAGCACAACCCATAGCGGGATGAAAACAACAGCCCATGACCAGTCTACCTAAATCACAATTGAATATTGTTTCTCAAGATACTAAAAACTTTGTCTCAGTATGACTGTTCCAAACGAAGAGGAGGTATTTGTGTAGGAGGATGTGGGAGAAAGGCCAAAAACGTGGCCTCTATCAATGTAATTTGAACCACATGCGTCCCCAGAAAAGACCAATTCTTAAAGGTGGGAAGTACTGATGAAACTGAAGAACAGATATATGCCTTTGGAAAATTAAAGGAATGGTTAATAGGCATCTTTTACATACACTGACTGTTGCAAATAAACCTGCGACTACAACCAAAAAAGAAAGGGTTTGGCTATGCTAACAAAAAAAAAGAGAACTGAACGTGCATTTCCCCTTCATAAACCAATTCTCAAACTCAAAAAGGAAAAATGCTTGCTTTATCTTCTTTTGAGACACCTACGGACCGCCTATAAGGCGAACCCAATATATACGTAACACAATCCGAACACATCATAGACGAAATAAACGAATAAAAGGACAGTCGCAGATGCGAGGTCAAGTGAATAATCTCCCAGGAAAAGATATCGCAACATTCAACAGAAGATAGTACAATATTATCAAAACTTACCAGCTCGTCTAGTTTGAACGCAAGGAAGAAGAGCTGCACTATGTTGATCGCAAAGAACAACTCAAACTGAAAAAAGCGACCTTACGGAAAAACAAGTCGCATAACATAAGAAAGGAGAGCCACCTCAAAAGATTTGTCTCGCCGCATAGCCCATACAACAAGGCCTATCGAAGCAATCGACAATGCGAAAAGTGGGGAAAAAACCACTATCCAGTGCAGCTCGAAGTAGTCTCGAAGCAGATACGATAGTTCCAACTAGAATAGGGTAATGAAGTATTCTGCAAATGAGGTTTCGCAACTGACCTTGCAGTAGGTCATCAGAGCAAACAGAAAAAGAAAAGAGTGCTCCACAGTTGTTAACTGCATGGCCGTAAAGTCAACTCGCAAGGCCAGATCATTCCTATGTTACGAGGGAAAATTGATTGACAATAGGGAAAAGATTATAACTCACTGAGATGGTGGATGTACCAAAAATGATATGACTCCAACTACAGCTCCAGAAAAAATCAGAAAATTGTAGAACCAGATCGGTAGGAACACTATGGCATATCCAATTCCGATTTTATCGTCCAATTTCAAAGAAAGCAAGAGGACGAAGAATAGTAGACAAAGATATGTGACAAATTTGCTGCAGAAAATAGAAGTGAAAAGGGATAAAAGTACTGTCGTGCACTTACCACGCATTGAAACCACGGAACACAAACCCAAGACTCACTTCGAACATTTTGATGGGGTCTGAAACAATAGTACTCAATTGAGCGATTACATCAGATTTGCGCATGGGTAAGACGATGAATGACCCATACCTTTTCTATTCCCATCTCTTTTCCCAGCCCTTCGGGATCCGTCAGAGTTCACCGATGTTACCAGTATAACCCGTGTTACTAGCTTTACTCGTGTTGCTAGTGCTTCTGATAACCGTGTCACTAGCGTAACTAGTATTATTTGGCTATACCTTACCCGTGTTACCAGTGTTACTAGTGTTACTCGTGTTACTCGTCTTACTCGTGTTACTAGTGTTACCAGTGTTACTTGTGTTACTCACCAGTCGGTGATATTGCATTTCAAAATGAGACTGTATTGTATCATTTCACTATTCAAAACAATGAAAGCGATACCACTAACACACCAGTAATACGAATGACACGGGCAACACTAGTAACACGAGTAACACGGACAAAGTATGGCCAAAGCCTTACCGCTTCTATTGCTGGTAGTGAACAAATCACCAACACACTCTCATTCTTGCACGCAAACTCAGTGACTGCTAAGTGCCTTTGTTTTTATTTTGTTTCTTCTTTCAAGATTACTCTTTGTTTGTGTTTCTTTGACACCTTTTCAACCATTCTCAAGAGAATGCCGATTTCCACGAAGTAAACTCTGACGTCCCTCCCGCTAACTTATCATGTATTCGCCGTAAGATTTGGATAATTCACAAGCTTGTCTTCAGTAGTATTTTTTCAGATTGTGACTAATTCGTCCAAATCAATGCACTGATTTTTTTCGTTTGCAATGCGCGAAAAAAGATACTTCTTAGATAAAATAATAACAAATAGGAAGGTTGGTCTTTGTATTCAGTCACAGCTTCACCTCGTTCCGAACAGCATGTGTCTAGCAATCAATTCATAACAAGCTTCGAGAAGAAAAGGAGCTGTTAAATGTGAAACACCAGAAATAAGCATAGATCAAAAGGAAAACCCTTACAAAACGTACCAAGTGTTGTTCGAAGCTGGTGAACTCTTTCGTCAGCTTAATTTGTATCCACCATCATCTCAGAAGATCGTCAGCAACACAAACACGGAGCCGATAATGAAAACTTCATCGAAATCACAGTGGAACGAAAATTCGCACAAAGACACGAAAGCCGTATTGGAGCGCGAAATCTTCAAGGCGATAGCATATCCTTCTCATAGAACAACTGCAGATATTATATGCATGTTAAGTGATTTTGAATGAAGGAAAAGACTACGCTGCTATTTCAAAGATTCAGTCCAAAGCACAAATTCCTATGTTGTGCAAAATTCTTCAAGACTTTTGTGCCAGTATCAACATTCCAATCACAAAAGCGGGATCAGGCCGAAACCACTGCGTAAATTGCGCGATCGCAGCGCTAGGAGTTTGCGCTACTTACACTTGTGGGAGCGAAGAATTTTTAGAGAGTGCAGACAAGCAAACAGCAAACGTGACGCAAAACCGTGGCGCTGCGTACTGGCCTCATCCGGATTGGGATAGGCTGTACTGGCTCCCATGGTGGAGCGTACTAGCGAATTAGAATATGTTTAACACATTCACAATAAGGCCGTCGATTACTGCTGTTTCGGACCAGAGCCTTCTTCACTTTGTCAAACTTACGACCCACGGGTGGGTCGTGTTGTCCGAAATGGTAGTCTTTTGGAAAAAAATTCAAAAGATGCCTCCGGGAATGCCATCAAACGGCTTATTGAAGGCGTTGATTACCAAAATATGATTTCTTCCAATTTTTGACATTGTACGCTAAGGTTACGGTAGTCATTTAGTACGGACACAACACCATGGATTTTCATGAAAAAGTATGTTTTGGGGTTGTTTCACGTCCTGATCACGGTTAGGACAGCATCATTCCGCGAAGAATTTGAGCTAAAGTTTGTGCTTTATCTCTATCTACAATATACCTAGCGCAGTGGCGGTCGCAGGATTTCGGACCGGGGGGGGGCGAAAAAAAATTTTTTTTAAATGAAGGTGCGTGGCGTAAGCCACGCACTCCGAAAAAATTTTGGGAGTACTTCTCAAAGTTTTTGCGGGTCTACAACCCCTAAAATCTGGAAAAAGGGGGCGTGGCGTCAGCCACGCCCCCGAAAATTTTTTTTTTATAAGACTAATTTGAAATTTTAAAAAATTTTAAAAATTATTTTAATTATTTACAAAAATAAACAAGTCGTTTGCACACTTTTATAACCCATATAGGTAAATTTCAAAAATTTCGCGACCCATTCTCGGGGGGGGGGGGGGGGCGCGCCCCCCCCCTCTCGGACCGCCACTGACCTACCGTAACATTACATTACAGTATCCCGATCCCGGAACACTCTTACTGGAACTTTGCCTAGGTGTCCTTAATCATGTGCCAGAATCCCGTATTCCGAAATTCTTCCACGAATCCACATTGGGGATGCCAAAGGTGAAGTGTGTGCAATGACACACATGATCATATGAAGTAATTCGACTGTATCGTCGATTCAAAACGCACAAAGACTGGGCGCCATTGCGTACGACCAAAATAGCTGGTGCGTGGGAGAGACAGCAGGTGGTAAGAGGAACGAAAGAGCGCTTGATCACGGAGGCGCCGATAAGTCCGCAATCTTTGTGCGCAACGAATCGAAGGTACATCGTTGTTAGCCTTGCGCCTCATGCGCCCTACGGTTAAAGGCAGCGTCCACCCAGAATTTGGCCCCCCATGTTTTTGTCATTCTGGGGCCTTTCCGTGGCCCTGATTACAGTTCCGAACTTCAAACTCTCCAAAATTCGCAAAAACTCCGATTCTTGGGGACCCAGTCTTGAGGGCGCGGACGAGTTTCGAATTGTTCGTCCCCGTCGGCAGGCCAGCGGGAAGGAGGTGCAACTGCATGTGTGCAGTTGCATTGCAGGGTGCAGTGTGCAGCTGTCCTGCTCACTACCTTGTCAATACGTGTCGGGAGGCACGTATTGACAAGATAGTGACCAGTCCCTGGTGGGCGGAGTCTGATATCAGACTCCGCCCAGCCAGGGACTTTCAGGCCCCTTATCTCCATTCAGAGACAACGTTAGAAGACCGGACCAACGCAGATGTCCCTTTTCTGGGGCCTACATTCAGGATCGACACTAATCGGAGGGGGTTAGGTTTAGCCTAGACACTGCCTTTAAGGTAGTGGCTCGAAAATGCAGCTGCGCGCTCTCTGTTCTTCCTTGGCTTCCTGAGACAGGCCAAAATCAGTGACTGGCTGCAGGAAACTGTAACACTCTTTTGGCGGTTGACTGGCCCAAGCAATCGCAGCTCGCCTGCGGGAATCTCTGCTCAGCCTCGTCAGCAATCCCTAATGCCAAAAAACGCCATAAAAAGAACTTTTTTGGCTTTTTAAGCATAGCTCAGGTCTAAATGCATCCAGAAGGCCAAGGAGGAACAGAAAGCACGCAGTTACAATTTTTCCGAGCCACTGCCTTTAATAAAACCGCGTTTTTCTACGTTTTGCGCCTTCTTCCGGCGGTCGACCTTACCTAGTACTTGCTGAGGAGGTTAAAACAGTGAGATCAAGTTTTGCCCTCCTCCCAATGCCGCTCCCCCGTTTTCAACCCCGTTTATTGACAGCTAACTCTTCGTAAGGTTTTGCCTTGACAAATGAACACAAGGTTCATTACACCAACTCTTCCCCCCCCCCACCCTTTCCCCAATTATGCAAAATTCCAATTCCGTGCTTTAACCATTTTTCATCTGCCGTAGCTTCATGAAGATGGCCAGATCCCGCGCATCATTTTGTGGCGATAGCATGTAGATCAACCGCCAGGTGTAGCATCCGTATCTATCTCAGTATCTCATATAAATTCTAAGTTTCTTCTTATAAACTTATTCCTAAAAATTTTCTAACAAACAGTGGAGCGCCTTAATGTCACTATCGCTTTCCCCTTTTTTTCATAAGCGTAAAATTGCTTTCACGGTCCAGTTTTGTGAATGATCTTCGCTCCCATCGAAACTCGCACTGTTCCCTAACAAAAGAAGTCTACGAAGGGATTAAATATTCTTGCACCTATCCTCATTCCCGAATTTTTTGATTTACAAAGAATCAAACTATTTATGTGTCCTAGATTTCTTTCACAAAAACTCTTTTGCCAGAACTGGCGCAAATATGCAATGTTCGTCCCCTAGCGGTCCGCTAGCGGAGTGATACCAAGTTTCATTATCACATTCACAAGATGACGTACTTCATATTTTCAATCTTCAAGAACTAGTGCTTATTTACTTTCAGATGAATATTATAAAAAGAAACGGGAACTTGTTGTCAGCTCTTCCTCTTCCAGAGATCGGAGCCCACCAGAATGACGCAAATTTTGTCCAATCCGAATCAAGAGAGCGCTTACCGTATCACATCCTCCGATCAGCACAAATCTGCCCTTGAAATCCCAGATTTCTGCGCGCTATATCTCGCAACTTTCGCCAAAATTCCAAAAATTCTTTTCGTACATCCTCATAAAGAATGCCGACAGTGCCCATTAAACACCTTTCGACATGATGCAAAGTCTGACACCTCTCGAAATAGTGAAATCTCAATATCGCACTTATTTTACATCCCCCCCCCCCAATTTTTTCTACGGGATTTTTTTCGTCCATTGATTGAAACCAAAGCAGTAACATATTGGCGAATTGCACATCTACGAAAAGCATGATTCTGCTTCTCCCAGTTTCAGAGTTTCATATCAGAAATAGAGCAGCTTTAGTCCCCCTATTTTTTTTTGCAATTATCATAATTTGGGGACGAGAGGCATAGTGGTATGAGGCGCCGCTATGACCAGATCGAACACAGGTTTGATCCCCTCCACTGGGCCGATCAAGCCCTCTACCCTTCGGGGCCGGTAAATTGGGGTGTATGTCAAGAGGCGCGATTTTTATCGCCAGCTAGACACCAAATAGCACATTATAAGTGTTCTGCAACTTTCTAGAAGTATATGAATTCTAGAAGAAAACATATTAGATAGTTGCATGAGTTGTTCAATCTTGATACTCTTGAAAAAGTTCAAAAGAGCAAGTTTGAAGGTCAGAAACTCATGAAAACGCATTTCAGAACAGATTCGTAAATATTTCAGTCCGATTTACAACAAAAACCATGAAACTCAGCAAGTGGTGACCTTAGACAGATAGTAAGCTAATGTACTTTATCTGGTAATTTTTGAAGACTTGCTTAGCACTAAACTGGAGATTGAAGTTGGTGACAGCCAGAGAAATCGCGCTTCTTGACCGTCTCCCGGTAAATTGGTACCAGAGTAATTTGGGAGGATAAAAGCCTGACTTGGTAAACGGCTGGCCCCGCAGTTCAGTGTAATAGGCTCGCATGCATACAATTGCCTCTTCGACTTTGAAGTACGTAGTGTGCGTTCGGCGCATGTCCGCAGAGGGTACTGAAGTCGCCGAATCCTTCATCCTTTTTCATCCTTTATCATAATTTTCTTCTAAATATTTTGAGCTCTTCCACCAAAAGTTCAAGTATTCCCATTTTCCCTTAGTTTTTTTACCAAGGCACCAGTTTTTTTTGGCACATCCTTATGAATGCATAGATTTGCCTGAGATATGCTTCTACATACTAGCATTGACATGATTTTTTATTTACTGTCACAACGTAATATTTGGATGTTGCAGCAAATTTGCTTCCATACCCGGTAAATGCACGTGTGTTTGACAAGCCATCTGTCAAAAATTCCCTATATAGGAAATTTTTGACAGATGATAGATATGATAAATACATGATCTATACAGCCGTATAGATCACGTACATACATGATCTATACGGCTCAATCAGCTAAATAGTTCCTAAGTTTTTCGATGAAAGTCCATTTGTTCCTGAGCTGTTACACTTGCAATATAAATTGGACGCGGAAAACAGCGATTACTTCTAATCTGAATATAAATTAATTCAGTGATAATGGTGGGCTCATCTCAGTAGCAGTATTGCCTATCCAAACCATTCGTTCTTCATTTGAGGCAGGTTAGTGTGCCAGTGAAATAGAGATCATTTTATGGGAATCTAAAGGCAGCAAACAATGTACATAGTATGAACCTATGGTACAAAAAGGACAGTAAAGTTGCGTTCTTACAAAAGGGAACAACACTAATTTGCTTTCTTTCTGAATAGATGGCACTCATTTTGACTGAATCAGTGTCTAGATATCACTGTGGTAGCAACGTCTCTAGCTTGCGTATATAAATAAATACAATCTGTCTTCTCATACCGATGATCAAAGTCCTCGTTTAGTAAAGAACAGGTCCAAAATTTGTGTTATATGATCTCCGTGCTCTAAAGAGGAGTTACAGCACTCAAAGGAAGTGCTGTAATCTTAATCTCGCCTAAGCTCAGTTGCTGCACCAATTAATATAATGGCGATGGTCCCGCCTTCAGGCCTTAGTTGGTCGTGCCGTAAACCGTTGGATATGTCCACAAAGATTCCAAATAGTTCTATCTGCGATGTGTGCGGATCAACAGGAGCGAAAATTCATTATCGTGCTATGGCCTGTGGGTAAGTAGCTTCCATATAGAAAGGCATGACACATAAATAAAATAAAATAAGAAGAGTTGAAAGACACGGACTACTCCTAATCTCGTTGAAATTTCAGGAGCTGCAAAGTATTTTTTGTCCGAGCAATTGCTAGACCTGTTCCGTTTGTCTGTGATAACAATGGCCAATGCACTGTGACTAAAGGTTCGACTTCAATTATAATGGTTTTCTGCATTACTTCCTCGGTATCTGTGACGTCTTCGCTTCTATTTAGAAAGAAGGAATTCCTGCAAAGCATGTCGCTTTGTGTGTTGTCTCAAAGCAAACATGACGGAAAAAGGTAATTATTTTGCTCTCATCGCAGAGCAGATTAGTACTATACTTGCTCCAAAAGTCTTACTTGGTGGCTTTCTACAACACAAAATGAGCTACAAAATCTATTGAATCGCAATACATCCCAATAATATGCGACTTTGTGGTTCAGTTGTAGTGACTGACATTTCAACGTCACAAGCTGTAAAAAAGGTAAAAAAGCTGAAAAAAGTCTTCATGTGTTTTCGAAACCGCTCTCGGTTGCAGCTGATGCCCATATAATGAAAGCTTTTGTAGGAAAAAACTCAACCTTTTTGCAAATTGATTAACATACCAAAAAAAGATGTTTCTGGAGATAAAAATTCTGCAATTCTCCTTCTTCTTTCCGTGCTGTACACAAAATGTTGTCTATTGAATCTGAAAAATATTTCGGTATTTTGCAGTAGCGCACCCAGGATATTTCTCTGATGAAGGTGCGTGGAATTAGCCACGCGCTCTGAAGAAATTTCTGGTATGCTTCGCAAAATTTTCGAGGGCCCATAATAACAAAATTTTGGAAAGGACGTGGCGGTAGTCACGCCTATGAAAAAAAATTTTTATAAGGTTAAATTGAAAACTTAAAAAAAATCTTTCATCTGTTCACAAGTATAAACAAGTGGCAAAAAACAACAAAAAGCCAAGCTAAGTTAGGTGTCCTTCCTTATTAGAAATAATATCCACTTTGCTTGTGCTACCTGTATCGAGCTCTGCACGTATTTAAGGCAGTGGCTCGGGAAAATTGCAACTGCGCGCTTTCTGTTTCTCCTTGGCCTTCTGGATGCGTTTAGACCAGAGCTGTGCTTGAAAAGTCAAAAAGTGCTTTTTATGGCGTTCTCCGACCTTGGAGATTGCTGAGGAGGCTGGAGCGCAGATTCCCGCAGCCGAGTCGCGATTGGTTGCCTGGACCAATCAGCCAATTGTCGCCAAAATGAATGGTGCTACAGTCTCTTGTAGCCAGTTATTGTTTTTGGCGAAATTCTCCGCTCTAGCCTCCTCAGCAATTTTCGAGGCCGGAAAACGCCATAAAAAGCGCTTTTGACTTTTCAAGCGCAGCTCTGGTCTAAACGTATTCAGAAGGCCAAGGAGAAACAGAAAGCGCGTAGTTGCAATTTTTTCGAGCCACTGCCTTTGATCCGAAAATGCTTTGGCGAAATTTTATTATTTATTAGCTAAATACCTCAGGCTACTCTGAATATTATAGATGTTGGGCGACTTAGGAAGAATGCATCGAAGGGTAAAAGTAATTCCGTTGTGCCTTACCTATCCGCCGACGAGATCAAAGTGAAACTGGTATATCGACGCCTTTCCACCAAACGCACTTTTGTCTCCGTGCGGTTTATTAAATGATAGAAATTTCAGAACGAACTCTATGAAGAAACGAGTATTGGTTCTCATTTTGCTCAAAGCCTTGAGAAAACTGCGAAGGCTTCAGACTATGCTAAATTATTAGTTCATATAGAAAGGTAAGAGGTTCAGACAGCATTAACCCTGAGAATCGTTCTGATTGACCGCTTTGAGGCTATGTGATAATCCTTATGCCGCAAGATCTGCCTTCGAATACTCGCTGGATCTTTCACTTGCTGAGGTATTAAGGAAACCGCAGTTGTGTTGCTCTAGGACACCGGTATTTCAGATCTTTAGAATGCGAGAAAGCAGTGATAATCTTCTAGTTTAGATGGGATGGAATCAAGACCAATTTGTCGAGCCGGACAATCTCCTAGATATTCTCAAACAAATTTACTGCCGCACAGTGACCATGTTTGCCGATTTTGCTTCTGTATGTCCAGAGCTAGCGTTATTAGAAGAAAAAGATAAGGTGCGTTTTCAATTATAATTTCAAATTTTTTCTTCTCCACTGTTAATCAAACCTAGGGTTTGTCCGCGCTTATTGAGCAGCATAGACAATTTCTGCGTAGCTAAGTGGCTCGAGCCAATCTTTCAAAGAGAAAAAGGCTTAAAGACCGATCTAGGGAAAATTTCTGATGCTCTAATCAATTTTCTCGTAAACAATCGCCTTGTAGTAAAGTTGCAGTATACTCTCGTATCTCACCGAAATCATGGAACAAAGCTCTGGGCTCCAGTGCTTCAGTAGGGGACATGGGCTTATAGGGAGACGCTTCTAGTCAACCTGTTTCGTATGAGGGACACATGGATGAATATTGCAGAAACGCTGAAGACAAGCTCTTCCGTGCTTACAAATCTCTTTATGGCCGTTAATTTGAAGGCCACAATCTAGAGGCTTCCTAGAATCAAATATAGAGGTTTTCCAACTTCCAAATGCAGCAAAGATGTGTGAGTTTGAGATTACTACTCTACTTACTAAAAGGCTCGCATTCATACTCGTAAAGAAGCACTAGTCAATTTTGTGGTGACTTTCCGTTCGCATACTCAAAAAAGGCTAATTACATCTCTCAGATTACCGCTTTGCCGACAGGAAGACAGATTTGGGATCTGTTTGCTGCATCTCCTCTTACATCTCATCTCAAAATCATTTAACTAAAAGTTTATTTCTTGTAAGGGACCATCCACACGCCTAGTGAGATTGGATACTCGACCCGTGCAGCCTTGTACTGCGCGAAATTTTCTTACCGTCCTACACTTTGCAGGGAAATAAGATGGTCTACAGAACACCGCTTCCGGATTCCTTGCAACACTTTTAGAAACAGTTATCAGTATTAAACCTGAGATTTGGTCCACCTTGCAGTGTCCGAGCAAAGACTCGATTTTACCCGATGCTTACCCGGCCTATTCGCTACGCTGAATCCGAAAATGCACATTGGAGTGCGCGAAAACGGCGAAAAACGGCTTCAACACAGGAGGGAAATCAGCAGGTGGGCGGGGTCCTCCCCACGATGAATTCACGCTCCCAGCTCCCACGGCGATTTTCTCGCTTTCGGTTTCAAGTCAATCATTCGCACTTGGCCGGTAGTGATGTTAGGACGGCTACCGGAATCGAGAAGACCGCTCCGGAAGCTGGGAGCGTGAATTCTCAGTGGAGAGGACCCCGCCCACTTGTTTTTCTCCTGGGCTAGAGCCCTTTTTCGTCGTTTTCGCGCTCTCCAATGTGGATTTTCGGATTCAAAATTATAAATAGGCCCGGTTAAGCACAAAGGCGAATAGTTCCGTTCAAGCACAAAATCTCTAAATCGAGTTTTTGCCCGGAAACTGCCTTTGAGGTAAATCCTACCCCCATCTAACTGTCAATGAACTTCGCTTATTCTAATTTTGACAGGTGATTATTCAGAGTAAGCTCCACTTTGGATCGTCATATTTCAAGCCAGAGGTGGTTTTCAAGCGTACCAGTCATGAAACGGTAATTTTTTGCACAAATGGTTTTCAAGCGTACCAGTCATGAAACGGTAATTTTTTGCACAAAAATTTAGCTTTGCAAGAGGAAAGATTGATTCTATTAGGTCGTTCCAAAAGTAATGTCGCTTTTTTCAAATGAACGCCACATTTCATGGAATCAAGATTTTCAAGAGGTCCTAGAAGCATTCGATTCATCATTTCATCCTCTTTCGAAAGGTTGTAATATCACTGCATAATATTCAATGAGCTCCCGAAAAATTACCAAAATCTGCGACCCATGCTTATTGTCATGGTCAAGTTCGGCCATTTTTCTAGATTTTTGTACCTATTCTTCGGAGATGTATAAGTAACAAGTAGATAGGGGAAACCCTATAGGACACAGAGTAATCTTTTCTTTTCCTTAGCTTGCTTCTTAGAGTTTCTGGATTCAATTTTTTAATGCCTTCAAATTCCATATTTGGTCAACTCAAACCTCACAGAACAACAAACGGCAAGCAACTCGGATGTCATTCGAAGCAGCTTTTTCTCCTCTTTCTAACAGTTGTTTTTTGTTTCTTATTCATCGAGTTTTCCGGGATAAAATCATCATAATTCAGTGGCCGTATTCATCAACGAACCCCGAGGGTTAAACTAACCCTGGAGGGTTAGTTTAACCGTGGAAAGCGTTTAACCCATATTCATGAAACACAGGGTAGGCTTAACCCTGAGGGTTAAATCTAACCTTGAGGGTTAATTTTACCCCAAAACCGACTAACCCGTATTCATCAATGAACCGTGAGGGTTAAACTAACCCTGGAGGGTTAAACTTACGTGATTCATCAGGGTTAATTTAACCCTAGCTCAGAGCAAGGTTAACTCTACCCTAACACTTCATACAAACATTTACTCGCATCTAATAGTTTTATGAAAAACGATCAACGAGTGTTGTAGTATTTAGAGTGTTGTTGTTATAGTATTTGATTTCGACTTCGTTTTATGTCCAAATTCAAAGTATATATATGAAACACTGACTTCGCGAGAAAAAGATTTCTAGCTTTGGTGACAAATGAATGCAACGAGGAAAAATGGTTGCGCATTCCACTCTGACAAGTGCCAAAGTAGAAGAATTCCTTTATGATAACACGCATTGACCCTTAAAAGAGTAGCACAAGCCCGGTATAAAACGAACTGCGCAATAGAACTTACACGGCACAATTGCACACATGAAAATAAACTCACGCTTAAGATTGGATGCTGCACAAATATGCTAGAGATGTATTATAAAAACTAGTGTTAGAAGCTTATTCGCTGATTATACTACAATAACAGTGAAAGAATAGAAGTAGTGAATTTAGCACGTACTTAGGCTTCTGTGATGTGAGTTTGCACAGCGCACGCGTAAGTGACGCCTTTATCCCCAGGGTTAGTCTAACCCTCAGGGTTCATTGGCCGTATTCATCAACCATGGGGTTCGCTAATGAATACGGCCAGAGGTTCGTTGATCGATACGGGTGGATTGCTTTCCGTGGCAAACCTTACCCTATGGTTGATGAATACGGCCAATGAACCCTGAGGGTTAAACTAACTCTGGGGGTAAACTTAACCCTCAGGGTTCGTTGATGAATACGGCCACAGGTTTTCCAGGCGCCCCAGGCTGTACCCGTAATTTTCGAAAGTTGCTAATCTGACGCGGTGAATGCTCATTTGGTTTGTAAAATTAGTGTCAAACCATAATCCATTTTTGTAAGCTTCAAAATCTGCAGATTTATTGGTGTTTGATGCATTCGAGTCTGAGACGAGCCTGCTAAATTTCGGTGGTTCCATCAAAAAATCTATACAAAAATCATGACGAGCTCTGGAAAGTAGGAAAATAGGATGGTGTTTTCTGTAGGGTTTGCTTTATGCATCCATTACTTGGGCTCCTTCGAGGGTTGTTATAAAAATTTAGAAAAATTGGTAAACTTGGCCTTCTCAAAAAGCATGTGTCGCAGATTTTGGTAGTTTTTCGGGAGCTCATTGAATATTATGCAGTGATATTACAACCATTAGAAAGAGAATGAAATGGTGCATCAAATGCTACCAGAATCCCTTACACATCTTTATACCACGTGATGTGGCGTACGTTTGAAAAAAGCGACATCACTTTCGGAACGACCTAATATGTGAGAAACCCCTCTCATGCACTTAGAGAATTTAACACGTTGACGACGAGCCATTTTCTTGCGGTCTGTCCCTATGGACGAGACGTTTCCATGCATCCCTACGCGTGGCCCATGTATGTATGCATGCATCCATGCACGAAGTACAAAATATGCAAGCCCCGCCCCCTCTGCCAAGCTCCGCCCACTCGACCAAAAATGTCGGAAATTGCCCAAATTTCAAGAACTTATGCCACTTTTGAAAAATGGGCGGAGCTTGCAACTCAGGGGGCGGAGCTTGCCTGACGGTGGCGGTGCCTGGCTAGAAGTTGTTGAAGTCTTTGCGTTCATCTACAGCCTCATCCATGCTTTTTGTGGACAAAAGGATCCTTGTGAGAGGCATAAAAGTGGGCGGAATTTGCCAAAAGGGGCGGGGCTAATACATGAAGTACATCTGAGCCTATGTTGATTATATGAACAAAAACTGAGAGGATTGTACAGATAGTATTGAATTTAAGGCCGCCGCGCACCATTGCGCGGCGTCGTCCACAGGGACAGACTGCCTGCCGCGCACCATTGCGCGGCACTGTCGTCAACGTGTTAAAATGAACCGCACTGAGTTGAGATTACCTTACAAGGGAAAGTTCCCAAGTCAGCTCGGCCAACGCGGACGAGTCATAAATCACCGTAACGGGCTTGAAACGCTGATTTCAAATCGGCTTTCCTTTTCTGCGGAGCAATTTTCCGAGGGAAGTTATGAGCGTTTAAATGTCTAAATTTGTCATGTTCAAAGTGGCTTAAAATTAGTTGAAAGCTGTAAAAGAACACCTAACAGAATTTCATTATTTGTGCTTCGTCCTTGTTATCAATATACTCGATACAAAACTGATAAATCCCTTTCATGTGTTATTGTACAGTTTTCGCCAATTTTAAGCCACTGAAAACATGACAATTAGACTTTTAAACGCTCATAACTTCTCTCGGAAAGTCGGTCCGCAGAAAAGGAAAGCAGATTTGGAATCAGCGTTTCAAGCCCGTTACGGTGATATATGACCCATCCGGGTTGGCCGAGCTGACTTGGGAACTCTTCCTCGTTAGAAGGCTACATGGTACAATTTATCTCAAGGCATTATTGTCGACGTCAAAGCATGTCTCTCGAGGTCAGATATAATTGTGCCCAAAACCGACTATATTAGGAGCATGACATGATAGTTGCGGTAAACTGCTTTCTTCAGTAATCAGATTCAAAAGCAACTTCTCAAAGTGTTACATGGCAGTTTTGGAAGAAAAGCCAGCATAATCAACATTCCAGGCTCTAAGGTTTTATCTGGGGAATTAATTGTTTTTGGCTACATTTGCATAGATCCAAAAAGATATTTTGCTGTGAGTGTCCATGGGTTCGGGAAAACCTTTTATTGTCATTTCGAGGGACATAGTCATAATAAAGGCTTCTAATTTTTGATATTTTATCTTAATTTTGCAGTCATCTAACATAAAACTGAAAACTTTTGCCAATTTACAATGACGTCACATCAGTAAGGGTTTTTTCAAAGTTTGTGAATTTTGATGCCTGTTTTGTTGAATCATTGTTGATTTATACACGGTGTCCCAAAAGTAAGTACATACTTTTCAATCGCCAGTATCTCTCTTTCCAAAGGGTCTTTTTTCGCCGCTCAAGTACCATTCTGTAGAGGAGGCTTCAACTTAGATTTACAGTATCGATCGAATCACCAGTCACAATTTTTCAGATTTTTTGAAAAACATTTTGTCAGATGGCTTATTTCTCAATAATTCCACATGCTGGAAGTTCTCACCATAATCCCACAGTAACGTAATCCCACCGGTCGCCCCTGGTTACTGTGGGATTACGGTGAGAACTTCCAGCATGTGAAATTATTGAGAAATAAGCCATCTGACAAAATGTTTTTTAAAAAATCTGAAAAATTGTATACTGGGATTTGCGCGCACACCAATTCCACTACACAACTTTTTACGAGTGTTTTCAGCTTTTTTGACCGTGCAATCACATTTCTGACAAATACTGAGAATTCGATTATTACGGTTCACTTGGGATAACTTTGGAAAGAAGCATCACAGTGAAGTGGTAATTTCATATTCGAAATCAGCGGCTTTCAAAACCATAGCACAAGGGTATTCGGTCGTTTGGTTTTGTTCCAAGGCAGAATTTGGCTTCCAATGGCCTAAAATCTTTGTCGAAGTTTCTACAGTAATCCTAAGTAGTGATGAGCGATCGGTGATTCGCTCGATATAGTAAATCCTAGTTGAAGCCTCCTCTACAGAATGGTACTTAAAAGCGGAAAAAGACGCAATTGGAAGAGAGATATTGACGATTGAAAAGTGTGTACTTACTTTTGGGACACCCTTGTACTGATATCGCTCCAGTTTATTCAGAGTCACATTCTTGAGAGTACTTCTGAAATCAAATTTACCTCAAGTTCATTCGCTAAATCCACTAAACAATCATCACCATTTACCTTCAGGGCCTGTAGTAATCCCCCCTACGTCGTAACGTACGAGGTCGCGAGATAAGCTCGAGCTTAGTTTCATTCCTCAATGCATTGATCGACTTGCCGGCTATCCTTCAACACACTCGTCGAATCACGTCAAGAACAGCTCGTGAACTAAGCTCGAGCTAAAGCTCGTGACCTTAGACACGACATATCTCACGAGCTAGTTCACGAGCTCCACTTTTCCGCTGAGATAGTGCGCAGTGGTGAGAGACGCAGAAAAATGGCACGAGACTAGAGCTCGAGTACGCCAAGTTCACGACCTGATAATCGTGCCAAGACCCGCCTACAGTAACACTCAGCAAGACGCTAATCCCATTTCTGCTTTACAGCATCTTCAAAGCTTTTACTCTTCCGTTCTTATTGATGACGGTTTTCAAATTGGATTGAGATGTTTCACTGTAGTTTAGTGAAATTTTCTAGGAGCTGCGTCCATAAAGTTCGTCTTGTATCTCTCTGTTTCGCGTAAAACAGTGAAAACATATGTCTATCTTTGTCATTTCAGCGTGTTTTGACTCTTTCTTCTATTTTATGCGAGAGATCAATTTTTCCTTTTTTTTGTTTTCACGTAAGATTCTTCTCTAGTAATTTGCCGTTTTAGGCGACATCACACAAAAGGTTATGAGAAAAAACGAAATCTGATCCTTGCGAAGTTCAGTGAAGGCTGTAATGCAGGTGTGTGCGATCCGTCTTCGTTCGCTTTTTACTACTTCATAGTATAGTCATGTCCGTCCATGAGTCCAGCTTTACATCCGCTAAGGCTGCTGGTGGTGGATTTAGCACAGCACTTGTCACGTTCGTGGGGAGCTAATGGGATTCGTTGTGTTGGCGCAAATTTGAATCGCGCGGTGTGGGGCATATCGGGCTAATCAGCACGGATAGATTGTTTTGTATGCCAATTAGAGCTCGAGACATGCTTTTTCGCTCGCTTATGGAAGTTTCTTACGAACTGTTAATTCTTGCTAAGCTAGTTATCGAGCTTTGTGCAAGTCCAGAACTGAGCAAACCCTTGGAAAGTTGGATAATCAGTGCTTAAGAACTTCTTGCTTGTGATTCTGTAATCATGTTGAGCTTTGTTACTTATATTTTCCTTTCCCGATGAGGTTTTCTTTCTCCTTTTTCTGGTTTTCTCTCCCTTCCTGTTCAGTTTGTTTGGTCGCGATGGTTTTCTCTTATCTGTGAATGAAAAATGCGAAATTGCCTTTTTGCTCTGGTAAGACCTGTTTCAAATGAATCTCAGTGACTCCTACAGTCTATCAAACGTAGCAAATTCACTTTCAATTACTTGATTGCAAGAATGCATTCATCTCTAGAACCCGTTTGATGTCAGTCATAAAGTAACACTTTTTAGGTCCAGGCAAGTCCAAAGGAAGCCCTGCACTCGAGCACATCGTCAACATCAGCGGCGCCTTACTCGTGATGAGGCCAGGTTTCATTCGGGTGGGTGCTAGTTTTCATGATTTGTAGGTGCATTTCTCGAGAACTTCCCTTTTTTTCGACAACTTGTTGTTAGCTGAAGCGAAACTTGCAAAATTGATTTGCGCCCGTTGTTCTATGGAACTACCTTTCTTCTGTTATTTGTGTTACTTTTGTACAATACCGGAAATTTTGCTTTGGTTTTTGCTTCTTTAACATTTTATCATCTTGGACTAGAAGGTGGAGGAGGTGCATATTAAAATGCACAACTTTCATTGCCAAACAAACATCAAATAGCGCAACCCTTTTACACGCTAAGTTATGAGTGGTTTCTGGACAATACGATAGCAATATCTAGGTAAAATTAATGGTTATGGTCTTTCCAGTGTTTAAATAGAGAATTGTTGAGTATATGTGTGTTAGAGAGAAAAACTTCGTGCATAGAGGCTCTGATATCTAAGGTCCAAGACATAGTTCACGCGATTTGATCGTATTCAATCGCCGCGATTTTCATTCATTTTCATTTAACATTCAAAAATATCGGGCTCGAAAAGTATCACAACTGAATGCAAGTTGATCGGCATGGAATGATGTTGTAACAGTTGTCTTGTCGCGATTCAATCGCGACGATCGAATCGCGCGAACTCTGTTAGAGCTTTATGCATGTGGAATTAGACGTGAGTTCTGTTTGTCGTGTTATATTCGTAATATGTTCTCGTTTCAAATTCTAATCCGGCAAATGTTATTCGCAACTGATAAGAAGCATACCCTTTTTCCAGTCGCCGACATGATCGTTGTGAAAGGTCCAGACATCGCGGAATCTATCTCTGAGGATGATTTCCGATGGATCAAAAGATTGTTGTATTGCACTTTGGTATTTCGTGCGCTGATGACTCATACGGGCTTTTGTTTAGAAGTATGAGATTCTTTAAAAGATGAACTAGTCGCTAAATTGAAACTGACAAGGTGAGCACAATTATGACTATAGGTTTTTTTAAATTTTTGTTTCAGTTTACTCTGTAGCGATCATTTTCATTTCCACAATTTTTATTTTTTGTACAAGCCTATTCGTTTATGCACATGCACCTCCTGAACCCCTCTGAACAGAGTACACGAGCTTCTTTGACAAAAAAATATCGCGCACGTTGCTCCAGTGTCGGCTCTGTAGAAACAAGTGACTAGTAGTAGTTCTAGTGGTTCTCCGTAGTTCAAACCAAAATCCAATATCACGAATCTTGCTGAAAGATCTCTTTTGGGGCTTATTTAACACGTTGACAGCACGCATTTCTAGCTACTGTTCCTACTTGTCAAACGACATCCATTCTCATGGAGTGATAAGACATTTAGCTACATCTCTCTAGCTCGTGGTGTGCTGTTCTTAACTGGAATCATAGCCTGTAAGTAGACATTTCTGATGTTCCATATGGGTCGAAATAATGGAATAGCTGCGATTCAGGTCCTCTCCTTCTTACCTTGGTTCATTGGTTGGGCAAGGGCAGTTTGATGATATTGTTTGGTATTAGTGCATCGGCAGCATCGTTCTTTGTTATTGCCCAAGCTAACACTACTCTGGAAACCTTCTTGAGTGAGTTTCACCTGAATTCCTTCTGATTCTGTGATCGCTCGTTCTTTAGTTTAAAGCTGCATTTCACGTGCAATCATGTCCTTATTGATTGCGAAACAGTTTCTAGAAAAAAGGACTAGATTTTTTTTTGGAAAATTGCAGAAGGATAGCTCTTGCCAGCCTTTCTTCCAACCATCTCATCTCTTTCACTCCTCTCTAAGGAAGTTTGTGAAGTACAGGGGCTCAGAGTGGACATTCACATTTGTTTCATTACAGGGGTATAGAAAAGTATTACTATTCTGCTCGCCGTAATTCGAGTTTTTAAAAATCTGTCTCTTTTCTCTATTTGGAGTTAGAGCAAGCTGAGCCTAAAGATTTCGCCATTACTTTGATGAAGCTAGTGAGGGATAATAAATTCCGTTTTTTGACAAACACTGACTTGAAAGTGAAGTTTTCGTGCATAGTGAAAAACGAATTTCTTTATAGGCAGAAGGATTTTTCTATTTTATATACATCGTTTTCGATAATGTTGCTTTTTTACAGCATTTTTATTTGTTAGAAAATTCTATTTGTGGCGCTATCATTTCTTTAGTTCCCAAAAAATGGCGAATTTTTTTCATGTTTGAGCCTCCGCATTTGGCATTCTATGTGGCGAAATTCCTTTTGGTTACCATTCATTTCTACCTCGTATGGTTCCTAAAGAGCAAACAGCGCGATTATTAACTGTTAAGTGACTTCTTATGCTAAATCATGTTGCTACGAGCTCATCGTAAAATTTTAATATGCTCGATAATCATGGCATATTGCCCAATGTCCACTCTGAGCTTCAACTTTATTTTTAATGCGACACTAGAATGGTGGGCAGGCTTTGCCTTTTTCGTTGGAGGAGTCCTTAAAGTGCTCGTTGTTGTCGGATAAGGGTTAGTCACAAATTTTACTCACAAGGGAAGGACCCTCGGTCGAGATAGCTGAGGAAAGAGGTCATAGCTGAGGAAAGCAAATCACGGCTCAATCATCTTTCTTTTCGGCATCATCATTACCCACCACCATTCGGGTCCGTTGTCGTCAATGTATTAAGAAAAAGCAGAGAAAAGAATAAGGATAGTGAATTACTGAAAATTTTAGTGGCAAATGTACCGCCAATGGAGCAGTACGTCAATCAGAGTTCAGCAATTGCTTTGCAAGGAACAGCAGCACAAGCTACACTGCTTCTTTCGGGATAGTGAGTCTTTTTTTTTAGTTTTCTTATCTATTTTCGCTTTGTCGTACTTACCATCCACCCACTTTGATGTTGCAAGCTTTTATTTTTCTTCTTTGCTTTTTATCCGAAATCCTCTTTGTGTCAGTCATGCGCCTCGACCAAGCAAATGATGTTAATGGGCTCAGGTCAAGTGCAGCCGATTCTGGCTGTTTACAGTTCTGATGTAAATCGGAACGTCATTGTTTCATGTTGTTTTCTTTTGTTCCAAAGTTTTTTGACGTGCTTTCGGTCACATTGAGGCGATTAGTGAATCCTAGCTTTCTGAAGCTTAGGCACCCGCCATACTTGATCCTCTTGATCCGCTTAATCCACTTGATCCGCGTGATCCGCTTGATCCGCTTCGTGCAAAACGCGCGCACTCGGTAGTCTGTGATTTGGCGCCGCGTAGGTAAAAAGGAATCTCGTATGGTTAGGCAAATTCGTTGTACGCGACGCCAAATGACAGACTGCTAGTGCGCGCGTTTTGCACGAAGCGGATCAAGCGGATCAAGTGGATTAGACGGAATCAAGTATGGCGGGTGCCTTAGGAAGCCGAGCAATGTAGAGAGTTTTGTCTGCAACTGTTGCGGCATTGTGCATCTGGCTACCGGCTGTGAGATCATAAGTAAAATTCTGGATTTCATTTTATCCTGAATAAGTGAGAATTTTTTTGTAGGCGTTGCTAGCTTGTACTTCTCAGTGAAAGAAAGCTTCGAGAATGGAAGTACAGTCGCTTCATTTCATATGATCATGTGTGCCATTGCACACACAGTCCACTTTGGCGTCCTCATCCTGGATTTGCAATCGCAAAAACGCAGAAGACCTACCGATTGTTATCGATTACATCAATTTGAGGTGACTAGTAACTAAAAAGACAAGAAAATGCTAAGAACACCTTGGAAACACTTACCTGAAGGCTTGTTTCTCCCACGAATCCAGGATGGGGACGCCAAAGTTGAACTGTGTGTGCAATGACACACATGATCATATGAAATGAAGCGACTGTAGCTCGGCCAGAGTCAAGATGCAGATCACCATGTCGCTGTCAACAGTGGTCTCGTAACGGGAGAATTTGTTTGGTTGAATGAAGACTGCTTGAGAAGAAGTCTCAAGGTGGGGAACTTGTTTTAAAGAAAGGAAGCATGGAACTTTCACCTCCTTTTTTACTCTTTCAAGAAGCAGTCAAACAAGGTTTTCTGTCCCGTGATGTCCTCACTTCTTTTTCCTTCTCATTAATCTGCATTATTTCGGAGTTACAGTCCGTGCCAATGATATGCTCCTTTAAGATCAGCTCAAACGCAACGCTAGAGTTCCATGCCGCGTACGCGGTAGCGCCATTTGAGCGTTTAAATCAGCCGCATCGATCAGCGAACGCTGCGCAATGCCCATGCGATGCGGATGCATAGTTGCTACAGGAAAGGGAGCACGTAGTTGACATTGACTGTACATAGGTTTCCCTCCATGCCACTCATTCATCTTCAATCGCTCTCCAGAATGCTGAACGTTGTAATATCTGGATTTACGTCTAACCGGCTTCGCACTTAATCTGTGCCAAATCACCGCGATTTGTGCGTAATCCCCCCCCCCGCATCAAGGTTTCCAATCCGCTTATGGAGTCTTTAGCTCATTGCTTCTTGCAGAAACCTCCAGATGCGTGGTTCATTCGTCCCTGCCGACTGCATCTTCTCTTTGCTTTTAACCAAAGAGAGTAATCTAATAAGCAGAAAATTTTTCGGCAGTGAGATGGTGTTTTGAAGCTGTTTTTTTTCCTTTGAATCTAATCCTATTTGCTGCCAATCATGAAAGGATTCAGCTAAGTCTGAACAGAAAACAGCATCATTCCGAAAGTTTCTCGTTATTTGCAAGTATGAGATCAGTACTTTTGACTGGAGTTCATATGACCATGGAATTTGTGCTTTTCATTTTAACCATCGTTCAATTTCACGGTTTCTTGAAATTCATCCAAGTCTGCGAAATCTCACGCATCTCGGAAATGATTTTTAGAGATGCTTGTTCGATGACGACCGATTGAAAAGTGAGAATCAAAATCACTGTTCTTGTTCTCTTTGCGGTCATTCATAGACTATTGTCTGTAGCAAATCAAGCGTGATTTTCTGAATCGTTCTTATCAAGTCCCCTAGCAATGATTCGAAAATCACGAGATTTCAAGAGGCAAATTCATTGAGCTTGCTTTCAAAAAAACCGGGAACTTTGGAAACTGTTCAGAATACATTTGGAAAGCGCACAGAGCCGGTAAATGATTTTCTTAAAATGATTCAACATTATCCGTTAATTTTTTGGCAAGCTTTATAACGAAACAGCCTCGTTCTCGATTTTAGATGGGTTTGGTTTAGCTGGACTTGGGCAAACTTTGAAAGAAGTCATGCGGCTTGTGTTATCTCTCACGTAGCTATTCTTTCGGCAGGACTTATCTCTGTCAAACTTCGAGCATTACGTGTGCATGAACTCTTGAATACCGTCAGTACCACTGAACTCGCGCTAGAACACTGAAGTTGCAGAATTCATTTAGTAGTTCAAGTTTTCATTTGGTAGTTCTGCGGCTTTTTGACCGGGCTAACCAGCTTTATCTGAGAATTTGGTGTCATTTTACGGCTTTATTGCTATGGTTCCAATGCCTGCTAATTACAGATTGTGCACATCTACTCAGAGACAGATGCCAGTACAGACTCTTACAAAGCGAATTCGAATTTATCAGAGCAGCTCTGGTCGAATTTTGTCTGTTCTTCTGTAATTTGTTTATCAATTATGAATCTGATGCCTTTAGGTGAAAGATCTCGTCCTTAACATACACATGGTACTGTCAAATACGGTGAAGCTCAAGGAGTTTGGGAACGACTTCGAAATGATTGTAGGCTTGATGCGTGTTGCCAAGGGTTATCAGACAGATCGTGATCTGGGGTAAATTTTGTACCAATTATAAGCAGCTAGAAGTGCGTTTAGTCGCGCCGAATAACTATCATAACCGAATTGCAGAATGATCAGCTTGCAATGAACTCGTAGCAGTTGTCTCGTTGTAAGGATTGCGAGACGATGAAATCGCATGATGTATGCCTGGCCTTTGAAGGGCCGAGCAAAAAGACGCGATTTCGTCGCTTTGCGATTCTCCCAACACTACAATTGTCACGGGTCCATTGCATGCCAATGCTCCACTGTCTCCGAGCTTTTTAGATGAAAAACTCTTTTTGGCACTTTTTCAGAACACACAACCTAAAAACGAAAAACTTCGGATCTCGCTGAAACTGTGTACATAGGGGATATTTGAGGTGCTGATCACGAAAATGATATTCATTTTGCATGGTAGGGTGTTTATGGGCCCATTGTGGCGACAGATTTTGATCCCATACCGTGCGCCTACCGTAATCCCTCAAACAAGTCCTTACCATGCGAAATGAATATCATTTTCGTGATCAGCACCTCGAATATCCCCTATGTACAAAGTTTTGGCGAAATCCGAGGTTTTTCATTTTTGGGTTGTGTATTCGGGAATAGTACCCTCTTTTTTATTCAAAACCGTGAAGAGTATACGCGTTCCAAAAAAAGTACAGCAATTCAAAAGCGAAGTTGAACAGGTCTTTTTGGAGTGCTTTCGTGGCTTCGATACGCAAAAAAGCTTCTTCTTGCTTCTTCGATATGATGTAGGATTTGTAAGCCTAATATATTTAGAAAATGACGAAATTATTATTCTTTGGAAAAAAAATGAGAACTTTTAGGTTCGCGTCACACAAATGGAGAATTTGGATGGCATAAACCTTGACATCACGCTCGAGAAGAGGACATTCAAACCAAATACAGTTGATGGATCTCCGCATAAAACATCCTGATTTCAACCCAAAACGAATGGATTGGCGATCGTTGGTATAATATACACTCAAGACGAGACATTACAGAAAACGGACTATTATGCATCTTAATTTTTGACATCGCATTTTCTTGTTGCATTTTCTCAGTTTGATAAACATAACCATTGTGTCCATTATCTGTAGTGCGTAATTACAACCTCAGTAGAATAAGCCACAAAGTAATACTTTGCACACTTTAAATCTTCACATCTCCAAACGGGAGATGACCGTTTTACATTGCAGTATTCATCAGTATATATTTTGCGTTACTTGACCTGGCATATGACGCTGCAAATCTTTACTCCAGCTTTAGGTTTAATCTAGAGTTCTACGTGACTGCGACAGTCGATGAGGAGTTTGCGGCCATTGCACACGCAGGATGTACCATAATGGCTCAAATCAGTTGAACGGTCCTGTACTTTCCGAAATTGTTCTAGGTAAATGGAAGCTAAGATCTGATAGCAGAAAGTTTGGAAGAGGAAAGGTAACTGAGAAAGATCAATGCGCGTGTAGTGACCGCAAACTCACCGAGTCTCACGATCACGCAGAACACTATCAGTGTTCGAACTGCAGCGGTACAAAAGGCTCTCTTGATAGCGCATGCAACCTGTTGTTGAAGTTGTCAAAGTAGGCCACAGTGATAAATTCTTAGTACAGTCTGCCCCAATCCAAACCCAATTAGGCCGAAATCGGCATGGCGGACTTTGCTTCACTATGGCTTTGCGGCACGCGCATGGCCTGGGTGTCTGCTCCCTCTTTAATCTCGTCGCTCTCTCCCACAGTGCGCATATGCAGCGCGAAGTAATGGCTCTACGCGCATGCAAATTTAGCAGACAGTTCAGCCTGATTGCGATTGGAAGAGATTTCACCTACAGCGACAAGAACAAGGTCTTGTTTTGTATGATCAGTTTGGTCATGCTCGTGCACCAAGAGATTTTCCAGCATTCGCTACGACTATCATACCTCATTCACGTTCCGACACTTGCCCTGTGTTTGCGTTTCTGACAAGAATAAGTTTTGTGCTGGCACTCGAAACTTTCTACCGAAATGAGCGTCACAACCTTGATACGCTCTAAGGAAAATTTCGTCACAGATCAGTTACTAATGCTAAGAATGCACGTGTACGGACTCAACGTTTTTGGATAAGTCACAGGGATAAGGTCAGAGCAATCTTGAATGAAATCAGGAGAATGGGCCGCGTTAAACACGATTATCCAAGTGCACGTTAATGCGGGTTGAGCTACATGTTAGAGCACGATAGCTTTTGCATTCATGCATTGCAAAGGCTTGCCAGCAAATCGGTTGATGTAGCGTAATGGCTGTGCTCGCTGTTCGCAATCGTCACGTCAAAGGTGCGATGCCCGTGGGCGTGCAAGTTTTGCGGAGACAATTGCGAGGCTCGCGGTAAGTTCGCGCTAAGTTCGTAATCTGCAATGAGTGTCGTGAGCTTAGCTCGTTTATGTTGTGACGTTCTGGGGTAGATTACTACAGGCCCAGAAGTTACTTGTACTTCTGTAAGCACGAGCATTTGCTGATAAAGAATTTAAAAACTAACATGAAGATAGCATCTCAAGATTCCAATGACGAATAAGGCCACAAATTTGAAATGGGAACATTCAACGAGTACTTGTCAGGGTGTCCAAGATCTGGAGATGGCCAAAGGCTGAAAATTGCATGATTATCATCAGTGGGAAGTAAGAGCTGCTTGGATTTTAGCAGGACGCATATTGAGAATCAAATATTTTTTCTCAGCTAGCAACTTAACCTACAGGTTCAGAACATCTTGCCTTCATGTAACTGATTATGGAAATAGGTGAAATGAAGCTCTCGAAACATGTCTGTGTTTTCCATTCCAGTCCTGCTAAAATGTCGGCGTAATCAAAGGTGTAGCTTTCTGGCTGTCAATCGAGTACTTGCAGTTGGCAGTCTGTAGCACTAACTACTGTGGTGTCATATTATTCACCTTGGTTTACAATGCCTATGTCAATAACTGCAATGGAATCCTCTTTCCTCATGGATTCAAATACTCGCTGTCACAAAAGAAGGATGATCATGAGTGAGTGATTCAACTTTTTCTCGCTGTGGTTGGCATTCAAAAAACTGTCGCAACCTGGATTTCAAAGAAGACAGGGTTACTAGTCGGTTACATATTTTGTACCACCAATTCTGTCAATACGGGGAAACTCATGGGAATGGTAACACTTACGAAAAGATTCGCCGGATACGTGTACAGCCATTTTGGATGATACTCTGGAAAACAACTTTTCCGAAGTTCACCATAGCGTTTTACGATGAACTAACATGGGATTGGGCGCATGTTTAAAAACGGCTAGGGGGTTGGCGAGAAGACTACTACTTAAAACCATGCGACCCACGGGACTTGCAAGAAACGTTCTGGATTGACTAATGGAAATCACTAGAATAACCTTTCGTGGAAGTTTGATTGAAATAGGATCGAGGTATAGAGAAATTTAGAGAATTATTGATATGAAAAGCCCATGGTGAAGCGAGCGTTGATTACAAAAAGCAAGCAGCATGATGAATCAGAGTGATAGTTCAATCTGAATGTAAAAACAGTGGGTCACACCTCCAGGTTCGACCTTCTATGAATCTTGGAATAATTTAAATTATGTAAATTGTAAAAGTTGTCATAAATTGTCACCATACCAATCTTGGCCACCGTTTCAACAACAAATCGGAAATGGGTCACACCTTTTCAAGCTGGCGTTTCAGGACAATTCAAATAGCCAGCGTGATAGGAACCAAGATTTCATTGACATGTAGGTGAAGATATCATCCAAATCACACTTACAACACTGTACAATTCTCAGAAATCTTGATGTTACATCATGTATAAGCACCACCACCTAAGCCGAGGCAAATTCACATAAGATCAATACGAACTATACATATTCGTCGGTCTTGAATTTGCTTAACCTTCTCAAAGTGGTCAACGTTGTTCAGCGTCTAATTTTACAATTTTCCCAACCTTAATTAAACTCAAACACTCGCTTAGATTGTGCGCTCGCAGTACTAGAAGTTTGAGAGAGATCTAAGAGAAAAAATGGAGAAAAAGGTTTACGACTTTCTATAACAAGTTGTATACCGTGGCGACGCAAACGCGCATCATGCAAATTCTGATCTGACACCGTTTGGGAGCCCTTTTGGGGCAGCCTGTATGTAGATATTACGTAAAGCAAGTAACTATGGGACGTATATGATGAAGGAAACTTGTTCTGAGTTCAGGTGGACCTATCGCACATTAAATAACAATGCGGTTGATGGTTAGTTAGTCCTTCAATACCTAGTTGTTTTTCCAGTTTTTCTTTCCACGTTGTCAGTAGAACGACGTGCCATATCATTGACATTTGCGCGAATATACGAATTTCACAGCAGGCAGTACAGAATGTAGAAGTATACAGTTTCTCAACTGCTGTGTACCTTAATTATTCTGCCCGTCCGCCTCGGACTCGGCTCGCGCAGACATCGATGGCGTTTGTTAATGGTTAAATCTCTATTGATCGAAGATCAGCACGCATGCTGTAGCGCAGCGGATGTGTTGCCGAAGGCGAAAGTGATATTGCAAGTGATATGAACTAAAGTTCATTTTATGTGAAAAAGAGCGGTAATGAAGAGGGAATCCACAGAGAGACACAATCTCGCCGAAGCTGCTTATCGCGGCCTTGCAGTGGGTGATGAAATCACTGAATTGGGACGGGGATGCAACGTGCTGGTGGGAGATTCCTCTTGAGCATTCGTTTCGCGGACGACATCGCAGAGACAATGTCGAAGGAACTAAACGAAGTAGAGAAGGAAATCGGATTGCGAGTGATTTGGAAGAAGACTCAGTTTATGAAGAGAGCTCTTTGAGTAGATGCTGGAATGAAATTGGAGGGTATCCCTATCATGGAAACATCTTTTTGCATATGTCTGGGACCTTCGATGAACATGGAGAACAAGTTGAGGAAGAACTTAACAGGGGAAGAAGAGCAGCCTTCGCCGCCTTCGGGCGTATAAAGGAATAATCCCAACCATTCTTCCGGGCTCTGTTACGCAGGAAACTTAGGCCGACAAGCCTCGTCAAAAGCTTTATGAACCATTCACAGATTCGTTAAAGGCAGTGGCTCAGGAAAATTCCTGAGCCACTGCCTTTAAAGGATCTGTGAATGGTTCATAACTGCGCACTTTTTGTTCCTCCTTGGCGTTCTGGATGCGTTTAGATCAGAGCGTGCTTGGAAAGTCAAAAAAGTGCTTTTGGCGTACTCCGGCCTTGGAGATTGCTGAGAAGGCTAGAGCGGAGAATTCCGCAAAAACAGTGACTGGCTGCAGGAGACCGTAACACCACTCATTTTGGCGGCAATTGGCTGATTGGCTCAAGCAGCCAATCGCGAGTCGGCTGCGGGAATCTCCGCTCAAGCTTCCTCAGCAATCTCCAAGGCTGGAAAACGCCATAAAAAGCACTTTTTTGACTTTTCAAGCACAGCTCTGGTCTAAACGCATCCAGAAGGCTAAGGAGGAACAGAAAGCGCGCAGTTGCAGTTCTCCTGAGCCACTCCTTTTAGCGCAGTCTCCTGAAGATGATCTGATACGAACAAAATCTTGACGGACTTCGCAGTACGGAGATGAAAAGAATATCCCGTACTCGTAGCCAAGCACAATACATTGCGAATGCGAAGCATCGATGAGCAAGTCACATCATGAGAAGATGCAACAGATAGACATCAGAGTGGATTCCTTGCAAAGTAAAGCGTTTCCGAGACCTCCAATAAGAGGGGGAGACAAATTCGTGGAACAATTGGACCAGTTTAAAAATCAGCTGGTTACAATTTTCACACTTGAAACTCGTGGACGCAGCCACCTATGACAACTAGGAAAATCGTAGATGTTTGAAGCGAGGGACAGGGACCATCAAAAACTTATGTGTTGGGGCTCGCGCGCCACGCGAAGACGGCCTCTAAGAGCTGAAATGAAGTGTGGCAATAAAGGCGATAAACCTTACAGAAGTCCTTTGATGCCCTACCATTGCAGAGTGAAGCTGTAGAGGAAGGATGCTACGGAGAGATAGACATAGGCGGACTTCGTAAGCTTTATCGTTGAAGCACGTGGACGGAGTAGCTCAAGCTGTTTGTGATTTATGTAGCTTTTGTGAGATAACATTTAAGTTCGACATTATTCGAGTTTGATATCAAATCTTATTGACGTATTAACCATCAAATCAAGGGCTAATTTATTAATATGAAAGCGTTAACTTAGATTCAACGAATTTCTACAAAATTTGGTTGATTATCTCCATCGACATGTGGTATGCGTGTTTCGGGATTCTCGCATCGATACAGAGGAGTACTCTCTTCTCAAGTCACTTATATTATTCTCTGGAGGTTTGTTGGTGGTGATATACTTATTTAAGAGATTGTTAAAAAATATTTTAGTGCTTCCGTTGACTGACGCTGGAACGGAAATTGTACTCAGAGCTCGTCGAAAGTATGCTGCCCTTCTGGCAGACTTTGTGGCCGCCACACGACTAGATCTTACCCAGGAGGAGCAGATGAAAAGGTTGACGCAACTGTACAGCATCGTCCCTCACATGATGGTTTGTCAATCATAGAGCGTTCTATCTGAAAGCAAGGGAACGAGAATGGCTGTTCAATTAATTCAAAGCGTCAGCAGGTCTCAAAATTAAAACCTTTTTTCAGTATACAATCCGCTCCTTGATTGATCTAGGAACGGGTCCGAAGGCCAGTAGATCGTGGGTAGGGTGTATATGTCGTCGAAAAAGGGCGGTCGCCGCGGTCATTTGCGACAAATGCGCGCTCTTGTATATGCGCGGACATGCGTTCCTGCAGGAAATCCGCGCGGGACTATTCCACATTCGGCGACATATAGTCCTCCACCCGTAGATCCTCTAGCAAGAAACGCGTAAAGTAAAAGCAATGTGTAAGAGGGCGGCTACTTTGAGACACAGGCACAGTGACGGGGCTGAGTCTGCTCGCCTGTAATGCGGTGTCCGGGCAAAAAGTCACTTTTGAAATTTTGTGCTTACCCGAGCCTACTCGCTATGTTTATTTTGAAAATCCATGCTGGAGAGCGCGAAAACGACGGAAAAGGGCTCTGACGCAAAAGGGGAATCAGCAGTGGGCGGGGCTTCCCCCTTGCAAATTCACGCTCCCAACTTCCGAAGCGATCTCATAGGTCCCGATTTCAAGTCAGCCGTTCGCATTTGGCCGATGGCGATGTCAGGACGGCTAGCAGAATCGAGAAAATTGCTCCAGAGGTTGGGAGCCTAATTTACATGGAGAGCATCTCGCCCACTCCCTCCGTTAGGGCTATTTTCTGTTTTATGGGTGGGTTGGGTTGGTCTTCTGTTTCAGCATAGCGAATAGGCCCGGTAGGCACAAAACAAAATCGACTTTTTGCTCTTACATTGCCTTTGACACCAGCGAAAAGCTTGGAGTATGGCACGCCACACCTGGGATCGTTTTGAAAAAGGGATAGGATATCGTGATTAAGGTCATGTCGATGTTAGCGTAACATTATCTTCCTTAACAATAAATTAGATAACCATATTATGCAAAAACAAGCACACTAAGATATTGACCTACGACTCTACGTTAACATACGTACACGTACGTTACCATAGAGTCGTACGCGCTACCAAGCTGTGCAGCATATTCGCGACTAGCATGTCAAAGAGCCTCTAACCGAGTTTCGACGAATTTGAAGTTTCCCATATGGGACCAACCAAATAAAGTGGTCATATGTGAACATGGTTAACTTCATTTCGAAGGGATTATTTTTGCGAATACGAAGTACTACACCTTTTTTGCCGCAGGAATCACAATTCAAGTAAATGCTAGACTATAAAATTAGAACCCATCCAAGACCTCGTTTGTCCCATTTTTCGCTTTCAATGCAGAAACTATTAGGTTGTAAAGAAAGTTTCCGGGCAGTTGCAAAATTTTTTTTCAAATCGCTGTAACTTCAAGCAGGTTGATTCTTTTTTGAAGCTACAAATTTCATTGCAAAGACAATTTTGTCCACAACATATATTTGTCTTGCTAGCTTCTCAGCGCCTCACTGCGGTCCACCAGCATGCGCAGAAGGGAAAAGGTCGTAGCGAAAAGTGGTCTATTTGTGCAGGATTATCTCAGGCATGATGAGAGCTGGAGAGCCTAGATGCTGTAGTTATATAGAGGTCTGCTGGGGCTGTTATGGGGACCATTCATGTTTTTGAAGGAGCACCTGCAAAAAATTTTTCCCAGAAAGTTTGAAAAATCGGCCATTTTTTGCCCCTAAAAATGCACCATTTTTCGAGTAAGTGAGTTTGAAGTCTTCTAGTTCTGCACAGAAAGGACCAAATCTTTGATTACTGGGAACATTGTTGGGGTAATGCCTTGCACATCTTTTGTACCCATCATCCAGGCATGGCGATCCCCGCAGAAGCGACGCCGGCTGCGAAAAGAGTTGTAGTCAGAGGCAAGTTTGACAGCTTATAATTTCTGAGCGCAAATCGCAAAACTCGAGTGCAGCACTGAACAGTATAAAAAACTTGGTGTCAAAGTCCGACTGAGCGCCGAAAAAATGCGTTTGAAAATGAAATTTCCAAAAGCGCCCGGAAACTTTCTTTACAACCTAATACTTTTGCTCTAAGTGGGACTTCTTGACACCCATGGAGTATCAAGCATCTTACGATGAACTCGCTTCAAGGGTTTTTCCCAACAAGGGAATGGTCAGAAGTCGAAGTGGCCAATCCAAAAAGCTGCATACCATTCATGCAGCATCGAGCGCTGATTTCAAATCCGCCTTGCTTATCTGCAGAGCGCCTTTGTAGGCGGAGTTATGAGCAGCTTTACTGCGAAAAAATCGTACACAAAAATTGCGAGATTAGGCACACTGTTGCCGTTTTGCTCAAATTTGAGTACGGGCCATATGAAGAGACCTAGTCGCATGTGGTCCAATACTGAGCCAAGAGTGGCTCTATACGGCCAAATTTGACCTTTGCACACACGATTTCTTAGCAAAATAATGACCTTTAACGGCTTATAATTTCATCCACAAAAGCGCTCTGCAGTTAAGGAAAGCAGATTTAGAATCAGCGTTATATGTTGCATCTAACGGTATGTAGTTTGCTCGAATTGGCCACTTCGATTTCTGACCATTCCCTTGTAAGTTAGATCTAGAAATAAGGATTGAGCGATTGCGCTGCATATTCTGGCCCAACCCTAACCTTCGTCTTTTTTCACCTCTCAAAGCTACTGTAGCTATACTGTCAATGCCATATGCGTGATTTTATCTAAACAGTGTTAAATTGTCCTCGAAAGGCCTCGGTCATAGCGGGCGGACAAGCGAAACTCTTTCGGATAACACTTTGCAATTTCAGCACGCCTCGGAATACGATAATGTCTACTGCGGGAAGATGGTCGTTCTAAACATGGGCAACATGTCCGGAAGTCTTTCCTATGATCTTCATTTGCGCAAATTTTGAAATTTGAGCAAGATTGTCTATAACAGAGTGTTAACTATAAATGTCAATCACTTCCTACGTTGGCGTCGTATTCCTTTTGAAATATTCAGAATACCCTAAGATAAGTTTTTTCCAAAAACTTTGAAGAAAAGGTGGAAGAGTTCTTGTCCGAAATTGTTATGGAGTAACCCTAAAACATTATCAAGAAGAGAGCACAGTCTGTGGAATCTTAAAATCCTGCACACGCTTGGCTCTCTCTTACGCACCTTTTGGTACCATCAAAGCTACTTGATGGCTTTTAGTTGCTGGGTCCGAGATTATTCATTTGCAGATTCATAACTCAGATTTGATCATTGTTTGAATCACATATTTTAACCTCTCAGATGCGGTCTAGGTGCGTAATTTGAAGCAAATCACCACTTGTATTGGACCTCTTTCTGTCAGTGAGATGTATTCTCGCAGAAATCAGATAGTGAAGATTTTCGAATAAACAAATATCGAAGAAATTCGAAAGTAAGGGTCACAAGAGTGTTTATTGTAAGATTTCTGCTTTCCTCCCACTATTTCCAATACTAAAGTGCACGAGGCGTACATGTGAGGTTTCAGCGCGATACCTGCGAAGGAGGCGATGAGCTGGAACGTATAACTGGAAAAGCCTGGATAGCATCTAATAGTTGAGTACATACAGGGAATGAAGTTTGTGTACACACATGGAATGAAGTATCGATAGTGATTTGTCAATAACTTTCTTGTATCAGTGAGTTCCTCTCTTTAGGTATCACTCTGTAGAGGCAGTTTTAGCTCAGATTCAAAGTATAATGCAGATAAATGATTGCTCTCCATTACTGTAAGATTAGGGTGGGAACTTCGGTGAGGACTTTGGCTATTAGAAGCCATATTTCGCCTCAGGAAGAAAGCTAAACAGTTAAAATCTCTTACAATAAACTATCAAAGTCTCTGACTTTGATTATTAATTTTGCTCTTTACTGTGATACTTTTTTTCTAAGTTATTAACAAGTAGAAGGTAGAGGTAGAAGTAACAAGTGTTTTTCCAGGTCTGTCAGAAATGTAATTGCATCATTTAAAAAGCTAGAAGAACTTCTAAAAAGTACTGTAGGAAATCAGCACGCGTGAAAATTTTGCTAAACAATTTTTAGATCGATTGAAGAAAAACTGTCAGATTCTTATCCTACATTGATTCTGTATGCTATAAGTTCCTACAGCAACGAGGAGCAATCGATGATTCGCTTCATACTGTGAATCTAAGTTGAAGCCAGCCCTACAGAAGGGTACCTATATATCGCGAAAAGACATCGATGCAAGTTTTGTCAAAGATCAAACAGTGCGCACATTTTCGGGACACCCTGTATGTGTCAGTGGCTGAAAAAAATATAACATGTCCTCTTGTTTGGTGTACTCTCGTCATTTTTTTCTATTATGGAAACCCAAAAAGGAGGTCCTCCAGCATGCCAGACTAATCCTAATACATAGAGCTTGACAAAAAGCAACCCAGAAATTTTGGGAAAGATACTCATAGAGAAAGAATACAATAAATGAAGAAAAATAGTAAAAACACAGAAATAACGAAATCGCAATAAAAAAACAACGAGTTTCTATTCTCCGAGTTGGCGGTGTGTTTGACGTGCATCACCGCGCTTGAAGCAGATTGCCGCTCCATTCCAAATTTTTGGAATGTTGTAACTAAGCGGAGATGAGAGGGTTTAGGGCAGCTTAAATTAGTTTGTATGTTCAAGAATGAATCGAGGTATATGTAAAAGGTTAGAATTGTAAGAAGGAAGAATCTAACCTACATAAGAGGGGGGAGGGATATATCATCATGTCGTGTCTTTCCACTCAGCTCAAGTCTCATACTCATATTGCAGAAGGCTAACTGGAATAAGTCATTTATTGAGCAAAGCGCAACACCGCATAGAATGCAGGCACTTTACTCTCTACAATTATGCAAAAATCGGAGGACTGTTTACTCAAACATTATCGTTCCTATCTCTATGACATGGCATCATAATTTAGTACGCACTTGAACATCATGTAGCGCAATCATATTTGTCCACAAGCATAAAAAAATTGCTGTGAAAATTGCTTTTCAAAAAGCAGGATTTCTGATAGTGCTGGTCGAGCTTAAGATCGATTTAGAATTTGGTAGGGTTCTTGCAATACGCAAAATAGGTACTTGTTGAACATGTAGTAACATGGTAGCCATTTGTTACGGAATCCAACTGTATCAAACTTTACGTTCCTATCAGTCCCCAAACTTTTATCCGATACTGGTGTACCCCTTTTTCTTAGATAATAGTTTATCCAAACGAGAACTGTCCTAAATCACAATTCTTGATTTCGGCATGCTTCTAAACCTTGATAAGCTTACAATAGTAGCGATAACGGTTTGTGTGTTGCAAAAGTCACGAGCGGTTGTATACACAAAACTTCTCACGCTCACATACTCATCAAAAACGCTAAAATGATTGTGATGCCTTGCACTTTCCGTTTTGCAAACAGCTATTCCACTATCGTACAGAATGCCATGTCAACAGCACTACCTATGCAAATTTATTTGGCTACAGCCTTTCAATCCTATAAAAGGGGTAGAAGAAAGAGTACGCAGATGCAATATGGCAGCACTTACGCAAGTTCTCGTATCTTTCACGGCGGTATGGTTATATCCTTTTCCAAAAATCGTGCTTCCACGCGCTTTGAATACTTATTGCAGGTAAGCTGATAGAAACACAGGAGACGTCCAAATTGTACACAGATTTTCGAAGCTTTTTTGCCATAAATACTGATAATACGGAAGTCATCGTAGCTTTGACATGAACAAGTAACTCTCCGATCATCTCAAACCTCAGAGTTACCCTTTGTGTTGAAAAAAAAACAAGTCAAACAAGTTGAATGCTCTTTTATCTTTGAATCTGGGCATAAAAGAGTGTGTCAGTAAGTATTGTGTTCGCCATCCAGATTCTGCGGTGGAGACTTTATTGATCTAACGTTTCGACATCGGCGTCATCATCAGAGGTCTGAAAACGGATTATAGGCTTTAGACCTGCTCACCACACCTTCAAACGCCTCTTCCCACTGTGTCAGTCCAGACCTACTCTGAGACTCACAGCATGAGACCTTCAAAGCCAAAAAAGGAACAAACCTTGACTCCACCAGCTAGCGACAAGCCCGCACATTTGATGGTAACCGACGCACTGAATGTCATTCAGTGAGTCAAGGCCATTTATGTGCGTCACTAAACCCACATAATGATACGAATGGGGCTAAGTCACTACTGATAGACAGACATTCATTTCTAAAATTCAGCGCTGGATTTCTAATACTAATTCGTGCGGCTTCGAAGATTTTCTTGGCGCATATCTCGGTTTCATAGGTTAGAAGCGTACATTTCACTTCAAAGTCATTTCCACCATGTGCCTCAATCTTATGCCGTCCCAACGCTGCTGTTTGAGTCCCTCGTCTTTTGGTGGCTAGATGTTCTTTGACCCCTTACACCTAAATTTCTACCCGTCTCTCCGATATAACAGTTATGGCAAGTCAGACATTCTAGCTGGTACACCACACCTGCCTTTGCACAATCTCCTACTCTGCCATAACGACAAACAATACAACGCTCCATTATGCAATCGCTATCATAAAGTCTGTTTCGCACCAACTGCTTCTTTATATTACTATTCGGGATATTGACAAACAACACATCATCCTGCAGTTGGGCTCTTTAAATGCATTGTTTGATTGCCTTCTAACTTCGTCTGAAATAAATGGAACGCAAAGAGGAATCTCATCGCATTGAGTTCGGATATGATTTTCGGGATGCTGCCTAATACGCTGATGTTCTTGCAATGCATATCCGTTGCTGCGCGCGATTTGTGATGCAAGCTTTCGTAACTTAAGCCGCTCTTCGTGAACCGTACACACCATCGAAGCAGTTCTCATCATTGTGAATGACCGCTTTCTTCAAATCTGCGGGATGAGCCGATATGGCATGGACCAAGATGTTTAAGCTTCCTTTACGACACCATTTGACATGGATAACACCATCGGAAAGTTGATCTGGGTGTTAAGGCAAGGAAGCCACCCTTTTCGTGGGGTTTCTCGAATGAGCCTGATGTACTCAGACTGCTGGTTTAGCAACTCAAAACATTCATCCATTTTGGATTGAGTAGACGGCAGTCATCGATGTAACGACAGTACTACAGTACTACTACGGTTGGCAAACTCAAGTCAAACAGTTTGCAGGGTAAGGCCTCGGATAGAGTTCAAGCAATTTGACCGTCGCGATTCAATCGCTACAGGCAAGTTTACGAATCCATTGCATGCCGATCTTCTTGCATCTCGGTTGTGATAGTTTTTCAACACGACTAATCGTGACTAACTATCACAACCGAAATACAAAAAGATCGGCATGCAATGAACTCTTAACACTTGTCTGTAGCGATTGAATCGCGACGATCAAATCGCGTGAACTCTATCCGAGGCCTAAGGTTGAACGCATAAAACACCAGTCGCTGGAAAACTACGGTTTACTTCAAAGTGATTTCGAACACCTTAAACTGCTACTGCTCATTCGTCCTAAGCACCAAATCAGTCAAGAAGTTACTCTTCTTGACTGATTTGGTGCTTAGGACGAATGAGCAGTAGCAGTTTAATTTGTTCGAAATCACTTTGATCACTTGTCACTACAAGTAGACACTACAGCTCATAGTGTCTACTTGTAGTGACACTATGAGCTGTCACAGTTAAAGAACGTTGCCAACGACAAGAAAAGAGTAGTGTTTCAAGGCAATCACTTTCTCTGATTACAGTCGCACAGGCGCACAATTTGCGCACCTTATTATAGGACGTGAAAATCAAAAGGCAGATGGCAAATAAAATTGAAGTAATCATTTAGCTATGGTTGTGCGCGATGCTTCCGATCTCCTTTGCGCAGGACTCAAACAGTAAGATTGAGAGAAGCGTTTGATCACTTTTCCAACAAATTTGATTGTAGGCGACATGACCTTATTTAGTTTGTCAAACACATACAAAAGCCGATGGCTACAATATCGATGATTCTGCCAGGAACTTAATTTTGGATATTCATAATCAAAAAAGGTACGAACAGTTATATATTAGCTCGCAAGATGCCAGATATTTGTTTTTTTTGGGCAGCTTTTCCAATGACTTCAAATTGTATGAAACCCACATAAAATGAAATCCTGCACAAAATTCTTTTTCCCCCTTAGGAACACTTCGATAATCCGTGGTGTTTATACATTTTTGAATTCGTTCATCAACTGTCTTTGCAAAAGATAAAATCTTGTATGGTTCCAGGCAGGCGACAGCTAAGGCTCAGTATAGAAATGGCCGCAACAACTTCAATATAAGACATGCAAAAAACATGATGGAAATGGTTCTTACTTCAACATTTTCCCACTTTCATGGACAATTCAAAATAGATTCTTTAGGAGTATTCGTGCCAGATGGAAGAGGATGCACACCTAATTGCTTCGAAATGTAATAGACAAGAAACCCCTCGAACATCACTTGTGAATGGTGAAAATTTCTATAAAATCGACAAGTCATTCGAACTAATAGGATCACCCACAAACGTAGCATATACAGTGAGTTATTAACCTTTTCCCAAACTTATGATCTACAGACTGAGATTTTATGTTGAAAAATACGATAAAATTTGTGAACAAAGCACCTAGTTTTAACTTTTTAGGCCGGAACCGCATGGTTTGAAGAAATTACGAAGAATGGCATTAACCGAAATCTAGACTTCACTAAGTTTCTTGCAAATAAGAAACCTGCACTGTATCACTGGACTCAAGTAGGTAGAACTGTATTTTGCACTGAACTTTTTATTCTAACCCTTTCAGATGGTATGGGCTGAAACGTACAAGATCGGCTGTGATATAGGAGACTGCGGCGACTACACAATCCTAGTGTGTCGTTACAGTCCCAAGTAAGAACGGTGCCAAATGTTTTATGTAATTACTATTTCATCATTTCAGGGGAAATGTGATAAGCAAGAAGGTTTACCAGCCCGGTAAAAAATTAGCTTGTACACTCGGAGAATCTCAGTCGTATGCTACTCTCTGCAACCATCCCCAAGAAGAAGAACAACTTTGAAGTGACAGTAACTCTAGTGCATTTTTCTGTGCTTTTCGATTTATTTTCGCATTGTATTTGGAAACGTTATAAAGCGTCTCGATACTTCAAGCAATCAAATTTGGCAATATCGTAAACTTCCCACAAAGTTTCAATGAAGTGATCGAAATAATCATGAAAGGGCTGGGAGTGTCAAGAGCTTCCAGACAGTGAACACAGTCAAGCAGATTTTTGGTCAACTCTCTTCTAGCGCTTTTCTTCGTCACCCTACTCGATTGTAGTATTTTGCTTTTTCGAATGAATAATCTTGATTACGACCCCCCCCCCCCCCTTTCACAATCAGTCTTACCCGCAATGCGACCCCCGCCCCGCTCAGTCAGGCTGCCTAAAGTCTCGGATAGAGTTCATACGATTTGATCGTCGCGATTTAATCGCCGCAATTTTCATTCATTTTTATTTTACATTCAAAAATTTCGCCCTGGAAAAGTATCACAACCGAAATGCAAGCTGATCGGCATGCAACTCGTAACAGTTGTCTTGTAGCGATTGAATCGCGACGATCAAATCGCGTGAACTCTGTCCGAGGCCTAACGTCACGAGCAAACCCGTCTATGACCTGTCTCATCTAGGACTATACAATTCATGGCAACAGAAGGGAACGAGTTAAAGCTTGTCCAGACAGTGTTCCCTAGTCTTCCAGTTTTGAATTAGGTGATGAGCTCCATATACAACTGTCCAGTATTTTTTAAAAATTTTCATCACAACTTAATGAGATAAAAGGCGGATAGAATAAACATTTTGCAATGCAATACTTGCGAAACATCTCAAGCGTCTTCTGTACTTGCAAAACATAATTTGTAAAGTGACCAAATTGCACGATGCCAATTCGTTTTATGAATCAACCCGAGTACCCGACGCAATTTATCTTCAGCTACCTGAGACTTGTTTTTCCCAAATTGTGAAAGCTTTGTGCCTAATTTCCTTGCAGATCTTAGCTCTATGGGTGCGCCTGACTGGCTGAGCAAAACCATCGAAATGTCGAAATTCCAAGCAATGATCGCTCATTTACGGTTTGGAAGTGCTCAATAATAATCACGTTCCGGTACGCATCTTAAGAATTCTTCAGCGATGCAATAATTCATCAGAAATCCCGCAAAAATGAACATTTACGGAAGTCGTGAAAATTTATAAATACAGTTAGAGAAGCTCGAGGAAGTATTGCTTTGCAGAATGTTTACATTGCACTCTGTCATGAAGTCATCTTCGACATGAACTGAGAAAATTTGAAAGTTAGAGCACTTTGTATTCGCTGAAAGCGATGGGTGGCTCAAAACCTTGGCAATTATTTGATGACACTACGAATAAAATCTGTTTGGAAAAATATCACTGGAAAAAGGAAGGGAAGCCGCGTCGGATTCTGAAGAGTTCGCACATTATTTTTCCTTTCTTCGTAATTTCGTAGCGAATCGGAAAGGCGTAACTTTCAGAAAGATCTTATAATCATCATATCAGATGAATGCTTTATATCGAAGACTATCCAAAAGCTAGATCTATTCAGTGCACAACAGTTCTATATTTGTTCATTATATTTGGAGCACAATAAATTTTGAAAAATAAATACAGGTAGCTAAAGAAACGATGAAGTCGATGACACAAGTCGAAACTTTGGAAATTTTAAATTATTGAAAGTAAAAACTCTAATAACATTTTTGTTTACATGATCTTTGCGGCTAGCGCCGGTCTGGCGCCTACTTTAGCAAGAGATGTAACAATGGTACTGACCTTCATCTACAACCGTTAGAATCCCATATGCTGTTTTTATTGAATCTTAGAATTACTTCCTTTCAAATTGCACGAAATCGACATGAATACCAAACAAAGCAAGTCGATAAGTAGATGTTTTCAGAATTTTGCAACTAGCGAGCAGCTGAGGTGAGCCCAATTGTAGAGTTTCTTTCAAGTTCATCGATATAAGGGCGCATTTCTTCATTTTGCGCTCCTATTCTCTCGCTGTCGTCTCCCCTACATATACTTTAAAAGTTCAAATTCGTCATTTCTTCATTACTTCATTACTTCATATTTCAATTACTTCATATAGTCATAATTTAGCAACGAAGTCCGATAATCTACGGAATAGATGTATGGTTTATTAGGACGTCATCACAAAATTGGTTTGACAAGTATCTTGAACCTAAGATGGCGGCTCATATCTCGGATTATCATCGCGTCAGGCTGATCTACTCACATTACAGCAGGTGCCTGGTGCTCCTGGGCATCTCCAATTCAGCATTACCCCACGTCACACCGTCATTCCATGGCTTCTTACAAGAATTCAAGAGAGAGAATCTCCTGTAGAATTTTGATCTACATTTTAATTGCAACTTTCTTTGAGTTTCATCTAATCTTGCTTGTCCAATCTTATTTTGATAAATCAGATCAGCCCTCGGTTTTTCACATTTTCAATGAATTACTCTAAAAAGCCAGCTGATTTATGCAGAATATTTTGTCCAAAAGATTCATTGCTAAAAAGTTGGGTAATTTGAACTAATGACCTTCTCAGCTTGCATAGTGGAAAAAATGCTCAATAGCCAAGCAACGATAACACAATTAGAAGTAATTTTCTTCAATAATTTCTGCTAGCTAGCAACGAAAGAATGGTTGAAAAAATCTTGCCGTCACATTCAGCGTTGCAAAGTCAAAAACGTTTCCACCGATAATGAAAGAAACTTGCCTTTACCTGGATTTTTTCTTTGAAATCGAGTTCAAAATGCCGTAATCTTCTTTGATGTTTTCAATTTCCATGTCTTTTTGTTATACATCAAAATTTAGCATTAATTGCAAATGGAAGTTCAGCCCAGTACAAACAATTTGATCTGCCAGGTTTGTGGTTCAACAGGAGCTCAAATCCATTACAGAGCCGTGGCTTGTGGGTGAGTTTCCGTCGTGTTCCAATATAACCCAAACTGGCGAAAACTACGCAAATCTTTGAAATTTTCTGTAATTATTCTAGGAGCTGTAAGATTTTCTTTGTGCGCACAATACAAGGAACATCGCGATATCTTTGTGAGAAGGGAAGCACGTGCGTTGTGACGAAAGGTAATAAACTTTTCGAATAATCTGATAGATCATGTCTTGTTTGTGCACTCATTAGCAAAAAAATGTTGAATTGCAGATAACAGAAACTCCTGCAAAGCGTGCCGTTTTGCAAAATGCCTGAAAGCAAACATGACTGAGCAAGGCAAGTTATGAAATTATATATGTTGTATGTAATTTGTAGCACCCAAAATCAAAAATAGAACTCAATTCCTCTTCCATTTTCAAAACTATCGTCATTGATTATCTTAAGTGAAGGATGTGTTACAGCAGCTAAGCAATTCAGCGCTAGGTCCTAAATTCGATAGGCTAACAGGTTGTTGAAGGAAACACAATTTTGGGTAATGCAAGTGCGCAGCTTTGGGAAAGCAACGCATTTTTCAAATACTCAGACAGTCGACGGCATACCTCCGGAGCAGAAATGGCACAGCCGCGGGCTTTCCCCAACGGAGGATTGCCACTTCGCGCTCCGGAGCCCTGCCATTTCACGCATTTTTGTGCTCCGGGGCTCTCCCAAAAGGTGGCGCACCTCCGGAGCAGAGATTTGCGGGTCGCGGGAGGGGTCCCATTCGTCCTCTTTGTGACGTCACCGTGACGTCACGATGAATGAATGGGACCCCTCTCCGCGACGCGCAAATCTCTGCTCCGGAGGTGCGCCACTTTTGGGAGAGCCCCGGAGCGCAAAAATGCGTGAAATGGCAGGGCTCCGGAACGCGAAGTGGTAGACTTGCGCCATATGCCCGCCGGAGGTATCCCTTCGACTGTCTGAGTAGGCGCTCGTTAATTTTGGAATTGCTTTCATCTACATGGAGAAAATCCAATTATCAGTTTTGGTGCACTTTCTTTCAGCTTCAGCTCTTTCCTTCTCAACTTTCATCATAAGTGGTCGATTTTGGAGCTAACACGCACAAATTCTCCTTGCGACCTCAGAAGGCGATTGAGTTGAGAACTGAAGAAGTTGCATTTTATAATCAAAACCACGTAATTTTTCTTTTAACCCAACAATTCCTCAAATAATCTTTTATAGATGTTGGCCGTTTCAAAAAGAATTCCAAATGCACTAGCAAGAATGATGCTGTGGTTCCTTACATAGCGGAATCGCAGTGGAAAATACAATTTGTAAGTTAGAACGTTTTGATTGTTTTTCAAGCTCAAAAAGTTTTTTGTCGCTACAGAGACTTTCATACGATGCAAATCAAAAGAGTTTTTCAGCGATAATCCTTTTTTGTAATAATTACTCCTCTGTTCTCATCTTTTAACAGCTGTTCGTCTTCATTCTGTCATCGGCAGTACTTTAGTCGTTGCGGAATGCGCGTCTGCCGTAACTGCGCTCGGCGCACCAAAAATAATTTTTCCTACGCCCATAAGATTCCTGCTGTTTTTGTGAATGCTGCTCACTTTCGCCCATGCTGCCCATTTTAGCGTAAAGATGTTCAACAAAAGAAGTCAAGATGCTCCTGCAGTTGAATGGTTAGAACGCGTTGCGCTGCCAAAGAAAGGTGCCGCAGACACTCAAGCCAGGATTTCTACACATAAAGGAAGCTGCCAATCTTGACATCTCTTTATGAAAGCTGTAGCTATTAGCGACGTGCCGTCCATTCTCCAAGGGAATGATCTCCAGCGACCATACCTGCTATGCACGAGGTTTACACTGGGGAGAGGATCATCCCCCGGGGATCTCTACTCAGAAACAGGCAAATCTGCTACTTTTAAATTTTTGCAAGGCAACTTATGTTAAGATAACAAGATAAAGGCAACATATAATATCATGTAATAGGATAGTTACCATCTGTTTAATCAGCTTGTATGGTCAAACTATCATGCAATATGAAAAAACGCAACTTCTTAAATGATTAAAAACTCCTGCAATTATTCGAAATTGGCAGCTATCATATGCTCGGGTTTCTTTTCGAGAAGCTAATATAGAAGAGAGAGACACTATTGCATGCTACAGGTCGCTGAAAAAGGAACCCGGTTTTCAAAGGAAATCTTTCATCAGAATGAACAAAATAATTTATAATGACTGATTGGAACCAAAATATTCTCTTCTCTGGCATGACCTGCATCAGCCAACTCCTACGTTGCAGGGTATGCTGATCCCTCCCCCGCATTGTTGAGCCACATTCGTGCATACGGGGAGTGGAAGGGAAGGGATCCCCACTGGGGTTTGTTTGGTCGATACCTCTCGAAACAAATGCTCAATTTGAGGCTGCGACCACGGAAACTACAAAACGGTACGCATACAAGATTCTTTTGTACGAGAAGTTTAACGAGTATAAGTCATAACATAAATGCAAGAAAATTTCAACATGAACTGTTAGATACACTCACTTCAAAAATCAACCATATTACTACTGACAGCAGGTAACGATATAACCAAGCCTTAAAACCAATATTATGGAAAAGAAAAAGAGAGCGAAGGAGAGAGGGAGACATACACTGGGAGAAGTGACAGGAGAAGAGTGAAAAAGGGACAAAGGCACGCAAAATCAGTATTGTACACCTTGTTCACAAAAGCCATTTACACAAGAATTGACCGAAAATAGCTTTTTCGGCGAGGTCTTGTAATATCCGTGAGGTAGAAGCGATTACCGCTATCACGCCATCCCCGCTGTAGATGCAGGGAAGTTATCGCTCCCCTCCCCTCTGACATAGCGGGTTCATTGAAGGAGCTCATTTCCCTGGAGATCCACCTCCCCTCCTCTACTCAGCGGGTACGTGCATACGGGCCTGCAGCACATATGAGCTAAAAGATGAACCATGGCACCAAGAAATACTTCGAAAATGCTTCAAAACTCGTGTAAAGTCACTGGTGCCGCTTCAAAAAACTAAAACTCCACAGCAAACAATACAATGCATATTCAGACAAAAATTGGGTTGAGTGGCCGTGCGTATGCATTGCGTTCTGTCGGGCGGGCCGTTTGGTTTTGATGTGTCATTGCCATCTCGACTATAGTTAATGCTTAAACTGTTGTCAAATGTCATCTGAAGTATGTTCCACATTCACAACTGATCTTGGGATTGGCCGTACCTTAATCTATTTCAATCGCGACGCGATTTGACAATGCCCCAATTGTCCATAACTCATCACGTGTCCAAATGTGCAGATTATGGGACATTTCATCAATATACGAAAGTCGTACATTTGCTCGAATGTTATGCATTTGCTTCCCCATTGCAAATGCATAACATGTACAACTTTCGAATTTGGATTCGAAGACGTTTAGCAAGTTGCCTTATTGCGTGGCGACTGCAGTCGCGCGAAACATGGCCAAGGCCTTAGGCCTAAGGCATACCTCGCACGATTTCGTCAAATCACTGCATCCAAGCGACCTGGCAGTTTGCCAGATGTTTACAAATCAACCGTGGCGAGTCTAAATATCGCATAGGGGCGTAGCTTCCATAAGTTGCAGCAAAAGCATCAAGTCTGACCTATGCAAAGCGCGCTTACGAGCAGCTATGAAGAATCGCTGCAGTGCCAGATCGCGCAGGGACTGGAATCGCCTGAGGTATGCCTTAGGCCTTATGCGGCTTGCCATGTTCGTTCTATTCAAGAAGCACATCTGGCTGCAGACAATGATTATAGCTGCATCTGGTAGTATACACTGCTACCATGTAGCATCTTTTTTTTTCCAGGAAAAGCAGAGAGCAATGAATACGCTTCCTCCTTGTGCACTAACTTCCAATACTTACGATCTGGTAAGTTACCTTTCGTTTGTTTTGAGTTGTTGCATAATCAGGCGCATTCTATACTCTGCCTTATATACTGACTACAAGTAATTTTTCAAATGTCTGTCCTGTGAGACGATACGCTTCTGTGTATTTGTATGTATGGTTTACGTACATATGTTGATGCATCTATTCCTGCAGCATACACATACTCAGACAATCGCTGGGGCAGGCGGGCACGGAGAAATAGATGGCTGCTTTCTCGCACGCCGCTCTCGCATTTTTTGGAAAGCAATCAGGACTTCTCGGAAGGACGCTTGCTGAGCTCTCGACTTCTCAAAGTTTCAGCAATATATCTGCAAAAGATAAAAGCGAAAAAAAATTAACAGACGGCCTCTCAAAAACTCGCTGGCCAATTTCCGGGAATTTGCGAGCAAAATGCGAAATTTCAGCAAAGCGTATTTTCCGGCACCCGCCTGCCCCCGGCGATTATCTGAGTAGTGGGAGGGGGGTGGAGGTAAGGGATAATAACACTCCCATTTAGATAATCGCCGAGGGCAGGCGGGCATGCGATTTATGGGCGGGCAGCAGCGGAAAAATAGTCCGCTGATTTCTTGCGGTTTGCTTGCAGATGTTTGGAAGGATTTTGGCAAAAATTCAGACGAATACTTGGAGAACAATCGCGGTTTCCTCCTAGATGACTGCGGCGCAGTGGCCGCATCCTCGCGGACTTTCCGCGAGAATATGCAGAATTTTCGAGGGCCGCACTGTCCTTTGTGGAGGACCGCGTAGCCCCCAGGTACTTCCCGCTAAGAGAAAGTACCTCAAACTTGAGTAATCAAACCAACGGTGACACCTCTGCCACGCAGTCTTACCTGTGCTCGACGTAAGCCCGAAACTGCATGAAAAAGAGGCCGAGCGCTTGCTGAAAGAGATTATTTGACGAGCGCCTGCAGAAAAATCTGTGTTGTTGCCCGCTGGCAGAACATTAGACAGAAGGAAGTACGGCTCGCTGAAGGTTTGGCCACGCCCAAAAATTCTGCTGAACGCTTGCAGAAAAGCGCGAGTTTGCAGACCGCCTGCCATCGGCGATTATCTGAGCATGTGGCAATCTCCGCTCATACTGCCGAAAGTGCTCCCAATCGCGCAAATTTGGGATTTGGCCAGATTGGTGTAAGACAGGGTTTACAAAAAGGCGGACCGAATTTAAAAACGGTTCTGTTCGCGGTCGTCTACGGCGTTTTCCATACTTTGTGCACGAAGAAGTTTCTCGTAAAAGGTAACAGTGGACAAACGGAGTCAGCCAGCTAGGTGGGAGGCAAGACCACTGTAACACAGTAAAGTGCAAACTGATCACATGAATACATAGAAAAAATTGTGACATCAGGGTTGTTTTTTACACTGCAGTATAAAATCCACATTTTTTCTTCTACACATGGTGCCATGGACGACTACCGTGGGGGACCACATAACACAAATGATGTGTCATAAGTCATAGCTTGAATCTCAATAATGATTATCTTCAAAGGCAGTCTGTCGGCAGAATGAGACCCGTGGCAAAATAAGGTCACAGGATAGGAGCCCCATAATGGAACCTATGGGCCAAAGTTCGATCTTTCTCTGCCACTTCTAACCCCCAAGATTTCAAACGAAGCAGCGCTCATCTCCTGTCCTCTCCGAACCCGCCCACCCCATGGACGAGCGACTTCCGCGGTCAGAGCGCCAGCCGCAATGCTATAAGCATGAGGTCCCGCAACGACTCTGCGTTTCGCCATAACGGACTTCGCGTTCACTCATCCATGGGGTGCGCGGGTTCGGAGAGGACAGGAGATGAGCGCTGCTTTCGCTTGAAATTTTTGGGGGTTAGAAGTGGCAGAGAAAGATCGAACTTCGGCCCATAGGTTCCGTCATGGGGGCTCCTACCCTGTGACCTTGTTTTGCCACGGGTCTCATTCTGCCGACCTACTGCCTTTCAAGACTCATTCCAGATATTTGGCTATGTGCTAAACTTAGAAACGATATCCTTTCGCAGCGTCCTTGAACTACTGTAAGTACACTGTAGATGACTTCTATGCGTTATCTCTAAAATCTCGATAGATTCTGATTGGTTTAGAACGCAGACAAGTGGTTGTAATCAATCCATTTACCATCTGGGAGTGGCCTATAAGTTGTGAAATTGTGTAAGCGACTTCTTTCCTTGCAAACTATTGAGTTTTTAGAATATCAGTAGAATACTTTATAGAGGTTTCTGTGAAGGTGCGATCACTGTCACGCCCCTTTCTTGTTCAGGGTTGCAGGGCAGTTAAAATCGAAGAACATTACATATCCATATGTGGTCGAATTGGTGTTATGTTTGCTCTAAAAAGATACTTTCATGCGTCGCGTCGCGCGCGTATCCTCCCTTTGTAGATCCTGCGCCACATTTGCCAATAAAGCCGCCTTCGTGCCCAAAGATTTTGCGCTCCCGTCATGCAGCATATAGATTCCCCCCCCCCTTCCCCCACTCCTAGACTCCTGACCAATGCACGCATTTATTTAACACGTTGACGAACGAGCCATTTTTGACCACATCAAAATGGACTGATGATCCACGGCTGCATTTTAGAGTGTTTGACAGCTGCCGCAATGCCGTGTTATCTATATGACAACCAGGCCACCAGTGTTATTACTGCATAAAAGTTACCTGCGAACTTGTCGTTCACACATGATTAATTGATGCACGAAAGTGCTAAAAGGTGGTCAGGGCGTGCATACGCGCGGATGCACACGGTCGTCAACGTGTTAATGCTTTTACAAGACGCTTGTAAAGGGCATGGGTGGGCCGTGTGAAGAAAGTACAAAGCTTCCCTTCAAAGGCAACGTCCCAGAAGGTTTCACTCTACTATCAGGGTGATTCCAAACTGATGGGGCATTCGGATGGCGTTCAAAACAAGTTTGTTTGAGAGGGTGAAATGCTGCAAGGTGCTGTCAGGATAACCTGTGAAGGTCACTATATACAGAGGCGTTCAAACTGCTGGTTGTTCTTAGTTAATCCCAGAGAAATCCTGAAAAAATCTTTAAATAAGGTGTCCCATTACTTTCGGACACCCTATTACTTTTCAAAACCTTTGGGCATTTTCCTAAAGCTGATCTTGAATGCGGACTTCGGAAAGCGTATATGGCCAACTAAGGGTTTCTGCAATTAGAACAAAAAAGACTTGGACGAGGGTTCAATTGAACAATGGGAAGGTGGAACAGAAAATGCCGCCTGCGATTTTTGCACCGAATGGTACGAAGAGTCGCATGCTGTGGTAAACCGTACATACTAGGAACTGGGAAGTTGTCCGGCGCCATCAAACAGAGGCAACTCAGGTGAATTTTCGACTGCGGGCAGGTCGCTGCATCTGATGCAAACTGATCATCAGCTCAACAAGTCGGTCTGCTGCGCTTGCGAGCACTGCTTTTGAACTCTAGCTGATAGAGGAAGTTGTGTGTCGATTACCTCTAACTTCGTTAAAGACTGATGAAGATATTGAAACTGCAAAGCGCACACGTGCGGATGCCTCCTGCCTTTTTCTAGATGGAGGAATGGTGCAGTTTTAGAATCAAATGCCGGAGACCATTAGTATCGGAGCTCATTTTGTGAGGGATCTTGTGCGTACGTCGAAGGCTCCAGACTATGCTAAAACTCTTGTTTACATAGAAAGGTATGAAGTAGTTTTAGAAACCTCTTGGAGGAAAAATTGTGATTCTATTCAGTCTATGTGACAATAACGAAGCGCCCAAGTCGTCATTTGCGTACACATTAGACGCATCGCTTGCTGATGTGCTTCAAAAACCGCATATCTGCTGTGCTAGAACACCTGTAATTCATCTGATATTCGTTACTTAGCTAGTACTTTGCAGATGTAATACCAAATTTTTAGATTGGCTGGAATGAGGAATTATTCGTGGAACAGGACAATGTGCTTGACATATTGAAACAAGTATACTGTAGGACAGTCACGCACTTTGCCGACTTTGTTGCAAGTTGTCCTGAACTACAGCTCCTGAACTCAAAAGACAAGGTACAAACTACGTCTGTTTATAAACTACGCTTGTTATAAAGACCGGTTCATAATTATACAAACACCTCATAATCTATCGTTTCTCGAAATTTATCGGTACCTGCGAAATAGCGTAAATAGCGATAAGGTACAAATCACGCTTATTATATTTCTCTAATCATTACGCACAATATATGCTTATTCGCTAGCTTGTTAGCACTTTTGGCGACTCATACGGCTCTCATCTTGCGGCCATCGGTGAGCTTCAGTCGTTGCCCATGGGTGGGAAAATGATTAAAGACACGTTCGCAAGCTATGCAGTGTCCAAGAAAGGCGGCAGCGCAGGTTTTGGGCTGCTCGAGTCGGCGACACCGTCACTGAGGCAGAAGATACAGAGTGACCTAAATATGTGCACGCTATTTAATCGTTAATAACTCTCTTTGTCTAGCTCTGATGTCTTTTGCCGACGTTTAGGTATCATTCTGTACTGCTGGCTTTAACTTAGATTTACTGTGTGAAGCGAATCATCGGTTACTCTTCATTAGTAGAATTACGGTAAGAACTCGACAAGGAGGTGTGTTCTGCCCCAGAAGAAAAGCAAACAAGCCAAAAACACTTATATTAAGGTAATGGTAGCCGCCGAAAGAAAACACTCGTAAATAGTTGTGCAATGAAAGTGTGCGCAAAAAACCCTAGTACACGGTTTTTCAAAATTTTTGAAAAAAAAAGGTTGTCAGGTGGCTTATTTCACTATGGTTTCATATGATGGGGGCTGGCACTACAAAATGGTAGCCTAAAGGCCGGCGAAACATTGTCAGAGTGGAGTGCAACACGCCAACGCTCTCTAATCACTCCCTGGCCTTAGTTAGGCCGCAAAGCATCTCCTTCCAGCCCCGTTGAATCAAAAGATACTATGCCATCCTGGTATTGGACTACCTAGCTGAAGTCATTTTTAAACATGGTTGGCTCTGATGGCAGGTTTACTGCCTTTTTTGCACTCATTACAAAGCACTACTCCTTGTTGGCACACATCAGGAATCCCACTTCACATATCGCCGAGCTGTAAAATTGGGAACCCATTCAGTTTAACTCAACCATTTTTTTGCCTCAGTGATCATGCTTTCAGCGATCATTATGCGGATAAATAAATACGCATCAGGCTTCTAATGTTTGCAAAATTACGAGGTTTAGACCACTACATGAAAAATTGAAAAAGATAACCGCCAAAGCTTTTCTGTGGCATAAGTATCAAAGTGTGACACAACCCTTAAAAAGGTGTAGCTGTTAGTCCCTCGTTTGAAGTAATGCCACATCCCATTTTTTTGTCACATAGACATATTCGGCTAATGGTTCAAGTATGGTTCGATAGCATAAACCTCGTAGTTCTTTAAAAAGTAATTCGAGCTAAAAGTACGCATCATTCGTCTGCGTAATGATTCTTGGAGTCATGACCGCTGAAAACGAAAAAAGGGATAAACAAGATTGTAGGCTTTTCATTCCACAGCCTGGCATCCATTGAAGTGGGATTTCGATATGTGCCACAAGGAGCATTGCTTTGTGTTGAGTGCAAAAAAAGGTAGTTAACATTGGACTTAATCATGTTTGAAAATGACCACTTCAGCTAGGTAGCCCAATACCTATAAAGTTCAAAAATCGCTAAAAGGTGGTCTCCGAGGGTGATTTGGCATGCTAATTATAAAAGTCGTATGTGGCAGCCGCGTGCCACACTTCTGGTTCAACCGTGGGTATAATTCATTAAAATAAAGCGAATCTCGATGAGTGGTTGCGTTTATAGGGATTATTGTGTCTAGCGTCATTATAACGCCACTTTCATGGCTCGACATTTTCGGGCCTTCTCATGACCAAAGTTCAACAAGATGTCAGGCACAAGTCTTTCGAGAACGACCCCTCTCTCTTTCTCTGAGATAGGGCCAGAGTAAGCGAATATTTTGTTCAGCTTCGTTCAGCAGCAAAAGGCGCACAGAATTAACGTTGATTCTGCGCGAAACCTGCAGCTGAAACAGGCCTTGGCAGCAGTAGAGATTATGCAGCAGACATTAATTCTGCTCACCTTCTGCAGCTGAACGAAGCTGAACAAAACATTCGCTTACTTTGGCACCTACCTGAAAGGCGCCTTAACGACTCCTTCTCTCTCTTCAACTCCGGAACCTCTTAATATGAGGTTTGTAAATCATCAATTTCCAATGTTGCAACAAGAGGCTATGAGCTCAATGTTCATACCAGGAATGGAGCGATGTCTAAAAACTAATAAGTTGGGTCATTCAGAAGGTTACAAAAGCTCAGGTAGCCTAACCTTTTGACGGGTTGCGCCTGGCTCCATTGATTATAACTCCAGAGAAGCTTCTTACCCAAGTTTTATACGATTCGCTAACACAATCCTCGAAATTTTTGCAGTAGATGTTTGAGCCTACTGGCTTGTTTCGGCTTTGCGTTGATCCGTGGAGCTGAAGCACTGGAGGAGAAAAACGCGGTGGTTGAAATTTTTGCAGCGCTTCTTGATCCACTAGTTGAAAGGATGAAGTCTAAATGTAGCATACACAGATAAGGAGTATCACCTGGTAGTGAGTATAAAAAAGCTTCTTTCACATTTTAGACTAAGTTAAGCATGCTTGGAAATCATGCTTTTATGTTAAGAAACACTAAAATTTAAAGACAATGGTTTGTGCGCTTCTAGGGGTAATTTTACGTGCTGATCACAGAAATAGTAAATGTCTGTGAAGCTTTGGAGGTGACATGTTGATCACAGAAACCATGCCTAATTTATACAAGCTTTAGTGACAACAGTATATGTAAGGTAATTAAATAGAGTAAAATCGGGCTGGGATTGCGATAGCGGATTTAATTAGTGTGCTGATCACGTCTCACTCATTTTCATCTTTGCTGGTGTTGTGATACTCACCGGTCTAGCGCCTTTTTCTCATCTTACTCAACAGCAGTAATCCTTCAATTTTTAGAAAGAGTTCGATTCTTGATTAGTTATGACCCTACCCCCTTCAGTCTTACCCCCAACAAAGCCCCAGGTCGGGCACGCCTGACCCCACGCCTAACCCTGTCAGGACTCAGGTAAAAGAAGAGCACTGCCACTTGGGTTGCCTTTGCCGACTGTTGGTTCTAAAACGACGTCCAACATTGCGAAAGCATTACGAAGGTTGCAAGCAAATGGTAGGGTTCATCCTGTAGCCATTATCTAGATATCATATGAAGTGCGAACGTGAAAGACTCCAGAAAATTCAAAAGTGGCGAATGGTTTTCAAATGTGTGCGGTGAAGCGATATTCGAACATCTCAAGATCACTGATATTGAGATAGAGGCAAATTTGTGCTGTCCCGGCCATCTTCTGCGTATTTTCGCGGCGTACACGTAGCGTGCATACAGCTCGATGCGTCTCATTTTTCTTACGAGCAGCAAGCCTTTGTAACACAAATAAGAACGAAATGAAGTGGAAGCGTCCAAGACCAACTACAAGAGAACCCTAGACAAGAATAGAATATGTAAAACTTCACTAGTTAAGAAATAAAGTGAGTAAGTACGAGAGTGAAACTTTCCAGTCATTGGAGAACAGTTTTAAAAGTATCAAAGAAAGAAGAGCATCATCCTCACAATTTTTCACTTTTCTGTGGGAAGAAAATTCAAGACGTATTAGCTAAAACACAAGTGCATATTAAAATAGGAGCAACATGGCACACTTATTATTTAGGAGAGACTTCTGAAATATTCTGCCTAGTAAGTCCTCATTATTTGGGGAAAAAGGGGAACTATGTAAGACAGAAACACTTAGAATTTCAATGCACGCAAAAACTCATCATAGGACATTGTTTTGGATGGCTTGAGCTTAAAATAGGGAGATTTCAGAGCAAAAAAACCAAGAAATAAAAAGAAATTTTTTGAGGCAGCTGAGGCGAGAAGAGCATTGAAAGTCGCATTCTAACGTGTGAAACAGCATAATTGACATTAAATATTTCTAATATCAGTTTTTTGAAAATCATAACTTCGTGAAGAAAGGTGCACAACCAAGTTACTACTTTGGCAAGAACACATTTTTGAAGCGGATTCCAAAGGTGGTTGAAGTGGATCAGGTACAAGGTTTCAAAAGCACGGAGCTTGACTTTCGGAGAGATAGTGCCTGATATACTTGGGTCCGAATCGAATAGAAATTCGATCATTCGAATAAAACATTCGAATATATTCGTATTCGAAATTCGATATTCGGAGTTCTTCCATTTTCGAATAATATTCGAAACTCGAATAATAAAAAAAAACAGGGTTTCGAGTAAAATTCGAAAACTCGAATAATCAAAAAACGAGGTTTCGAATATTACTCGAAAACTCGAATAATCAAAAAAAGAGGTTTCGAATATTATTGGAAAACTCGAATGATCAAGAAACGAGGTTTCGAATAGATTTTATTCGAATGTTTTGTTCGAATGTTTATTCGAATTCGTATTCGAATGACTCCGTATTCAGATTATTCGACTTTGCTGTAGAGCCAACTGCTGAGTATCAAGCTCACTTCGTCCGCGTTTTTTTCGCAAAACTCGGTAATGCATCTTTTGCAACCGTTATACCTTTGAACTGTATGGAGAGTCGCATTCTTCCGACTGCCTGCGACAGTAAAAATATCATATGTGGATTTTAATTGATGTAGAAAGTAGAGCAAGCCCTTTGCTTTTACATTGTTGATGCTGATAAGAAATAAAATTAATTTTGGTGTACATCAGTCTCTTTCAGGCCATCTGAAGGAGAGTCTTTTGGGCACAGCATAAAAATTTATATCGGCTGCTTTTTAGATCGTCCATAATGGGTAAAATCTGACTTTTTGCTGATGTATAGACTAAATGCCGACCGACCGACTTTATCGATTTTTGGGGAAGTTTGAGCTGCGGGGCTAAGAGTTGGTACAAGGGGGTAAGTGAGGGTGCTGATTATGGATAAATTTACTTTATATTAGGTCGTCCCAAAAGTATTTTCGCTTTTTTTAACAAGCGCCACAATCCGCAGAA